GACTTCTAGGTATCGTTTCAACCTTGAGAAACTACAGCTCCGCAAACATTGCCAACATCACACAACAGATACGATTCGACTTATCTCTTGAAGGGATGATCGTTACGTAACACCACGTAATATATCCTGTTTAGCCGTGAAACACTTATTTTCGTTGGCGGGAGGGACACGCCTGCCAACCATTCCCGAGTAGCACGTTTCCATCGACCCGGACTCTCTTTCCCAGCGATATTCTCCGGCACGTAGATATTCCTTCGTGTGCGTTAAATAACATATCCATGACCTAAATAATCCTGAATTTCATCATCTTCGATAACCAGACGTAGAATGTTAGACGTCGGCTCAAAAAAGCCTCTCGGTAGATCCTCCCTTATACGTCGTAGATACTCGTACTCGCGAATGCAGGACTGCAAATGGAAATGCCTCGTCTGTCTCTCGAAGGAAGCGTATCCTTCTTCCTGCCGCGAATCTTGGATCAATCGTGCAGAAGACCGATAGAGGGTTAACGCGTCTCAAATTGTATTCGGAAGAAGCAATCCGAGCGTTCGTTTAAGCAAAGTACGAATCGAGTTTAATTGATACTTTTACTCTATCTTTATTTAGCAGCTAATTATTCTAATTTTGCGAGTGCGTGCCACGCCGATAGAATTGGATTCGACGCGTCTATAGAGTAGATAGTAATTTCGTAGAATCGTCAAATTGGTAAGTACAAAATTTGAAGCAACGATAATTGGCTGACGAATTTTCACGGTTAGCGCGTCTACGTGTACTCTTATCTATCCTTCGATCGGTTTCTTTGAGACGTCGAATCGCTCCGTAATTAATTCGAGCTGCGGCTCGGCCGCAGCCACGCGAAGTGGATGGAAATTGTTAAAGAGCAAAGCTTTAAAAGAAAAAAGTAGATAAAGTAAGGACTAGGAATTAACCGTTCGCACTCGACTATTCCAATCACATTTTCATTAGATTCTCCAGTAATTTTAGCAATTCCATGAAATCAACGATTTCAACTGCCGATGAAACTTACAAGTGCCTCGAATTGATCGCACTCGCCGTTTTAATCCTACAGTCTCGCGGAATATCGAATATCTGTTATTTCTACTGGATCCTGAACATTGAGAATCTTTGATTCGAAATGCACGAGTGTACGGTCATAGATCGAAGAATTAACGATACGCAATTATCGCGAAATTCCTGCAGACACGATCGAGAGAGAAAAGTAAGTACGTACGGCCGACACGCGAAATTTATACTTACCTGCGCTATTAATATATTTAGTTCCACGCGGCCGCATCGTATAGCGTGCAAGCTACAGAATAAAATGTTGATTTTTATATTCGCACGTGTACGTACGTACCACCATCTACTTGCGACTATGCAATACAGGCACTGGTGAATCGCGTATGCGGGCACGAGTTTTTCAACTTCCTACGTGTTCTTAAAGCTGTGTGTGCCTAAAATCGAACTCCATGTAGAGACGAAGATTCAAACTCTAACGGCGGGGGCTGCAGTTGTCAGATACAGCGTTGATCGTTCCTGTTATCGTCAAAATTATTTTCCTCGGGAAAAATGAATACGAATCTCGAGCAGCTTGCTTCTCATTCTATCCTTTCTTTCTCAGCAAACGGATAATCCGCGCACGTTGCTCGAAACAATTGGATACTTTTTAGAGACAATTAGCTACTTAGCGTTTCGTTTCTGCTCCTTAGAATCTAAAAATTGTCACGAAGGAAACAATGTTCTAATCGTTGCATTTACGTCTACGCTCGTTGTTCGGCTATGACGCGATATAGCAAAAGGATTATCCGATCTTTGTTTCCGTTTGATCGTCACGCGAACAGCCGACTGATCGTGGCTAATTACTGTAATTGCGCTGAATAGGGAAAAAAAGAAAGAAAAAGAAAAGAGAGAAAAAAGAGAGTACATCCAGTGTCCTTGACAACGCAGCAGAAATATACCGAAGGAGGAAAATTGTTTTGTGAGGAAAAAAAAGTGGGAAAAAGGGAAAAGAGAATAAGAAAGAAAGCAAAAAAATGCTTTCGCGTGGAGCACAGCCTCGCATTGTTGTTTCCTAAAGTTCCCATCCTAAGCAGGTAACCGGCCTAATTTTCGTGGTTAATTAAAAGGAGACGAGGAGACGCGCACGATACCGGAAGCGCGACGTTTTTTCATCCCGGGAAATTTCAGACGGATGGGGGGAGCAGGAAAAATAATGAAATTATAGGACATTATGATATCCAACAAAGAGCACGTCGACGGCTCGATTTAATTCTCCTCCGCGAGAATCCTACCACCGGTAATCACCACGGCTCGTTAAAAATGAGCCGAGCCTAAAGGCAGCGTCTATGCAGCCGCAAGTGGGTTAATTAAAATCTTTAGCCAAGTATCGTACCGGTGTACGCCTATTTTGCAAATTTATCGCCGATCAACTAGGGGAGTTGATAAAATCCTTCGGATAAACTTCCTCCGAGACGTCTCTGCCACGACCAACTAGCAAATTTTAATATCACTGCGAGCTTCAAGAAGCAACGAAGAACGCGATAAAATGTAGAATAATTTAAGAAGCGTTTCTACTAATATCGATCTTACGTCTAAACAATATTAATTCGAATCGACTTATTTAGAATAAAGTTATTGCCGAGAAACGAAAAGACTTAAATTTACGTAGCTCTAGAAGCAATAACGCGCTTAAGATACACTTCTTTACTTCGATAGATTTTCTTTATTTACAACGTAATGTAAATAGATTGCTAACCCTAGTTTCGACGAAAGTAAAGGAAGCTCGATGAGTTAATGTATATAAATTTCAAAAAAAAAAAAAAAAATGGATTTGGGTTAGTCTGACGTTCAAGTACAGAACGCAATGTACGTTGATGTTAATTTCATGTTGTTCATGCGCTGTGCTGTTAAGTGGGTGACAGCCTTTAACAGGGGTGCCGGTCGGAGAATAGAAGAAACGTTTGGTCGACACGCAAAGTTCACTAAAGCATAACGTTGAACGTGACCCAGCAGCACATATATATACACGCGAGTACCCTGCGCTTGCCGATGATAAGTTACGCTCGACTTCCGCTTCCGTTCACTGCATCCACGTTCGGTCGCACGTACGGCACCTGCTCGAATTGCATGAATTACATCGCATCCAATGCACGTTGGTGTGAAATAGAAAAAAGAAAAAAGGAAAAAATAGCAGTACGCCATATGCCGTAAATTTATTTGCGATGCTTTAACCATTCTCTCTCCCTTCCCTCCTTTTTCGTCCGTCATCAATCACAATAGCAAATGTCAATCGCACATAGACGTTTATAATTTATTCCATTGGTCGGTTGAATTTTCGACGATCGGGTCGTTAATCAGGCGCGAGATTAATTTTAAGCATTCGGTGAAATTAGAAAAATAAGGTGTCTCAGGAATTTGTTCACATATGTAGGTAAGCCAATACGGCTTTGCCAACTTCTACACCTACAAGACATAATAGCAAGTGGTTCAAGTGGACTGCAGAAGTGGAATTGGTGTCGTCTTTTGTTCTCGCCGAATCAGCACCAACCTCTTTTTCTTGGCATTCTTAGAAATCAATACGTGCTTCCTAAGTTTCTAATACACGGCAGGCCTATCGCTAGTCTATAATATTATATACACGTTGTTTGACACGAATCGTCGAGTTTCTTATTACAGATACCTAAGCGGGCCGGTTCTTTCGAATTTAGCCTAATGAAATAATTCGACGATTTCGTGTCTTCTATCTTACATGATGGAACGCTTATTCTATCCGTGTGTCTAGATCTGTGCGGATGTATACGGCATAATGACCCTCTCGTAGTTAGTAGCAATGGGGCCACGCAAACTTGGAACGTGTTTAATCTGTATAACATGTAAAGGAAGGATCGTATAGGTGCTAAAAGGGTAGAACCAATTCGACTGTTCAAAGGATAGGAGAGGTAAAGGGTATACAAATGCAAGGCCCGTGAAAAAATAAAACATTCAACTGATGTATTTTAAGAAAGGTTATTTTTATATATTGTCACATTATACAGTAGGATTTTGAAAAGTTTACTCTTTCGATATTCGCCGAAATTCGTGTTCGCGGAGCAATACATCGTGTGAAATCCCTCGTGATTGCGGATTGAACCGAAAATGCGGATAGAGACCGATAGCCATCCTTCTTCTTTCAAGGAAATTTTATCACGTACCAATTCGAGTGTTACCAATGATAATGGAACGTATCATGGTATCGTTCAGTTTCTTTACAAAAGACAAAGTATAAAAAAAAGTAAATGGTTTATATCGTATAAAAAGTACTAAAAAAAGACAAACTAATGAGAACATTTTGCAGATAATACCTAAATCAAATTTTTATGTCTACGAGATAAAAATGCAACGTGCTGATAAAAATACGATATTTAAATAGAAAGAATAAGAAAGACAAAGAAAACGAATCGGTACGAGATAAGCATTTACCAAATACACCGCCGCGCCGGATGAATAATTTATCGCATCCATAGAAGAGAAAAATCCGAATATCGCACGTATAAGTTTGAAGAACGCCAGGGAAATATGTAAATTACTCGATCGTTTCGGCTTGGCATTAAATCACAGGAGGAACTTGAAATGAAAATTGCATCGTGACCGGCACCAAAGCATGCTCGTACCGATCGATCGTTGGAACTTGCAACTCATAACACTTCGACCATGCATCAGTAAAGGTGAACAAACTCTACGTGTTTCGACTCGAGACAGCTACGCCACATAACCTACTCTACCATTGCGACTTTTCCAATTTTACGCTTATATTTCGTTCGTAGAGATAAACAAAATATAGTAAAAAGAAATATAATCGAACATCGAAATTAACTTTAATACTTGTAAGGGTTCGATCGTATTAGTATCGAGATTTAGCGTAGGTACGAAATATTTCACATCGAAGACGCTCGTGTCGCTCCCGACTCGATCGCAATATGGCCGTTCATTTCGCAAGGAATTAACGTTTCGTTTCGCTCACTCACCAGATATTGCTTGCAATGTCTTTTATGCTTAACGGTGCAGCGTTTCTTCTTTTTGGAGGCACCCGTGGTCAAGCCGTTTCCGGGCTTTTCTTTATGAGGCGTCGACAGGTTTCCCTTGTTCGCGGGCATCGCCGTAATCTTCGAGTCCACGGAAATTGGGTCGTTTTACCTGCCGACGACCGTCGAGACAGATCCACCGTTCGGTCCACCGACGAAAGTGATTGATAATGCTCGAAACTTCTCTCTTCTCAGTATATAGGATGCACACGTGAGCGATAGTACATGTGTACGTATAGCTACTGGATATGCGCAAGGACACTGGACTACCCTGAGCTGATTATTCGAGGCCACGCCTCCCGTCTTCCGACCTTACATCGTAACAACCGCCCCTTTCGAATTTTCAAAATTCACCTACAACCTGTTATCTTCAATGCCTTTTTTTTATTCATTACACTCTAACCAATCATTGAATTTGATGTCGTGGTTATTTCACGCAATCGCGAGTGTTCGATGTTTAGGCGCCTTTTGAAAATAATAAAATCTAAAAAAAAATGTGGGGGATGTTTGTTAGATACCAAAAAAATGCTCGGCCCTGGACATTTAGTAGCGCCGCTGTTCGAAAGTGGTAAATCACTTAACTACGTGATACGAATGGTTTTAAACAAGGATGAAAGAAATATGTACATACTTACATATGTATAGTATTTGTTTTATGATAAGCGTTAATTAATTTCTGGTTCCACTGTTGGCAATAAACAATTAACTATGAATTCGTTAATAGCGGCCTAAAAGAAAATATGATTTCTTGCGTTCACTTTTTATTTTGAGAATTGTATCGGAAACTCTCGAAATGTTTATAATTCAGCTCATAGTGATAATTATTTTTAATTTATATTACATGAAAGCCAAAAATAAAATCTCTGTTAAAAGTAATTGTTTTGTAATACTTGAAAGAAAGCAAAAAATACGAAATTTCAATCGGAATACGATCATTGTACAATTATGTATCAACACTGATTGTAAATTGTGATTTTTTTAACAATAATACACAGTGCTAAATGCGAAGGAAGAAAGTACTTTTATCAACTGTTTTGGTTTTAGTTACTAGCTTTGCCTGTGGTTGGTAAGATGACGCTGTACGGTATTTATCAAAAGGAGAGGAAGGGAGACGAGTAACGTGCAACGGAGATAGTTGAAATAAGTTGACCTGTGTCTCCGCGGTCGAGCGCGCTCGTTCTGCTCGAAACGTTCGAGCACGAAACGTTGCGTTAGTTTGTCGTAAATTGAGTTACGTCTCGTCGTATCTGTTGTACGGTTCGGATATTGCATCGTGTAGTCCTCAGTGTGTGCATGTGTGTGTGTCAATGATTCGTTATTAACGGTGCAGTTCGGCCTGATATATCAGAAGATAAATTATGATGGTCTGATCGCGGTTCCAACATGACTGTGGATTTCGCCGACTACTTTTGGGTGAGTGTCTTTTCGCTTGTTATCCCAGAATGTCATCCTCGTTAGATTTAGGTTAGGTACGGAGAGAAACCCTCTTCCTTTCCCTTTTTGTCTTATCCTGCGTAAGAACTCTTAACAAACTACTCTCGTGACTGTCCCTACGTCACGCTATTGTAACATTTTTTGTTTTCGTCTAAATATTATCGTGTTTCACCTAATGAAATCTCCTTTTCTGTCTTTCTTCCACCGTACTATAATCATCCTCGTTCTTCTCCTTTCCTCTTTTACGCGGCACGTTTGTCTTTATACTTTTCCGCGAATACAAGGTTATTCATTTCACCTCCTTGTCATCTCGTTTTCCTATCATCTCCATGACCTATGGAAAAATGATCGCACGTTGACATATGTATTACGTTTTCTATGCATGTTTATAGTTTAAGTGCAGAAGAAAGTGAAATTGTTAGGTTTGTTTAAAAGTTCCAAGATCTTTTGTCATAACTTGTATTATTAATTATATTTTCCTATTGTATAGTTTTACATATTTCGATATAAATTTTGTATATTTTTCTTTTAAGATGATTGCAACACAGATCTCTACTAAATGAAAATTTCCCTTTGTAGACAAGAATTATTGGAAATTTTGCACTTTTTCTATGCTTTAACAAATTTTAGCGACATAAAGATTCAAATGTTTCTTATAATTTTGTGTTAAGGGCTTTAGTTTTATAAATGTTTTGGAGGATTTGACATTGTTTTCCTGACAGAAGCATGGTACAGATAAGATAGCTACCACTTCCTTTCATTTCCCTTAAAATTTTATCTATTGGAGATTATTATATGTAGGATATAATTATGATGACTCAAATATCAAATTTTATAAAAAAAGGCTATAATGATTCATTTATTTTTTATGAAGCTAATGTTTTATTATAGTATTTAAGAATTTATAAAATAAAAGGGATTTTTATTGATCTTGCCTCCTTCGCTTATATTCTATTGAAAAATATTACAGAATCTATAGAAAAAGAGTTATAGTCTATTAATTTAACAAAAACAAAATTTTGTAAATTTTATTATTCCGTACTAATAAAATTTGCAATAAAAATTTATGCCATATGTCATGAGTGACAAGTAATATGTACAATAGGATGATAAGAGTAATAATATGTAATGACAGCTTATTGTAGCGACGTTACTCAAGTGTTCTACTCTGTGTGAGTTTACAGCATGATCAGGGTTCAAGTGTTAAGTGGCTAAGTGGTCTTAAGTATAGCTTTAGTATATGTCTTTTAGGCATGATACTTTAATTGCAAATGAAATATATTTTCTATTAATAAAAAAATTCTTATCCTAGTAACATATCAGTAATAGTTCTCAAGCATTTATTAATATGTATTAGAAGTAAGAAATGAAAGTGTATTGATATATAAAATAATGCATTGTGAATGCACTGTAAATGTGATAGAAAGTATTTAGACAAAAAGAATATTTTTCTGTAATTCAAGGGCGAAAAGAATAATGGATATGACGTGTTATATCATAACATGAAGCATGGTGCAGTTGCAAGCAAGGAGTTGGCTGAGTTTCTGAAAGAACGATCAACTATAGAAGAAAATAATTATAAGGTTCTGAGTAAGCTAGCTAAACAAGCTGGCAGTAGCAGTAGTACACAAGGAACATTTGCACCTGTTTGGGCTGCCTTAAGAGGAGCAGCAGAAAAACTTGCTGGTTTGCACTTGCAAATGGCCCAAAGAGTGACTGAACTAATAAAAGATGTATCAAAATATACAGATGAATTACATAAGAAACACAAGGCTGTATGTAACTTTCTCTTCTTAATTTTCTTATATAGAGATAAGTCAAAGTTTTAGATATTTTCTGCAAATAATTGTTTATATAGAATGTGTTAAAATTGCTAAGCATATTTAATAAGTAATATAGTATGGATTATTCTAGTAATACATAGAAAAGATATTTACAATAAATTTCATTGTTTTATATTAACAATTAAAGCTTCTTTTATGTTGCAACATGTTTTTTTTATTTGTGGCACTTATTGTAACTATTTATCATATTGAAGTATGAATCATTTTGTATATTTTATACTCTATCAGTATCCGCCCACAGTCAGGTCACTAGGTTCTCTCAGACATTAGTGTTTGTAAAGATATAAAGATAATGTTTATCAAATAACACTGATAAGCAATTATTTGAAATAGCTAATTAATTAACATATTACTTTGTAGTTGATTTTGATGCTTGGTTATATTTATATTATAAAAAAACATATATGTAAACAAAACAAATAATATGTAGGTAAAAGAAGAAGAGTCATCTACCTTGGAAGTTGTGCAAAGTATACAGAATATTACTGTGACATTACATAAGGCAAAAGATATGCGTATGCAAAAGGGTCTTGAATTAGAAAAATTGCGGAAAGACAATGCCAGCCAAAAAGAATTAGAAAAAGCAGAAATTAAGTTTAAAAAAGCACAGGACGATTACAAAACTCTGGTTGATAAATATATGGGCATAAGAAATGATTTTCAAACCAAAATGACTCAAACATGCAGGGTACATTTCTAACTTATCACTCTTAAATGAAATTTTCTATGAAAATTGGCATAATACTAATGAATCTATTCTTTCCTTATTAAGCGATTCCAATATGTAGAGGAAACACACTTAAAGCATATGAAGGAGTTTTTAAACATCTATGCTGATGTTTTGCAGTCAAATCATGAACAAGTTGGTCAAGTTCATATTGATTTTAAACGGCAATGTTCAGACATGACAGTGGACAAATTATTAGAGCAATTTGTACAAAGCAAATATACAGGTTTTGAGAAACCAGGTAAAAATCTTTGTAATATATGGACAGAGTTTAGTATTTAGTACATAAATCATTTTCTCATAAATCAGGTACATTCGAATATGAAGAGATCATAACAGGTTTAGGAGAAATGACCAGTCATTCTCAGTTGGAAAGCAATGTTGAGACACCTAAGGAAACATCAAAAGGAGCTAATGGAGAAACAGGCGTTGCTGGTAACATTCACAGTTCAAAAAACGATCGGGGATTAAAAGGGGAGGGTTGTCAGGTGGATGAGGAAAAGGGGACGGTACAAGAAAAAACAAATGAAAATCTGAATGAAAGAGACAGAGAATTGTCACATGCACAAGCCACCAAGGCTTCCCGGCGTACTACCTCGCTACTCAACCTGTTCATGTCCAACTCCCAGGGTAGGTTCTTAAAGTTGAATAGAATGTACAAAACCTCATTCTATTTTAATTGCAATAGTTTTTATCTACCTTGATGTAATGTAACTTTTGGTTATTATTATAAAGTATCATACTTTAACATAATCAATATCAATTATAACAAATTTTATGACTAATAAAATTGTTAAAATTTAAGCTATTTAAAAATACGTGAAATTGATTTTTCCAGTCACACATTATGTCTTGGTAGATGTGTTTTGCAGTTTTTTATTTATCACATCAATACTATTTTATTATTTTATTCACATACATACACTTGACCAATTTATTTTTTAGCACTGAATCACAAATTTAATTAATCTAGGCATATGCGAAACAACTTTATTGACTTATGCTTATGTGGTTGTGTTACAATGCTTGCGCGTTATAATCTAACAATAGGTGGAGGATGACATTGCAAGTTATCATGTATTCCAGGGGGTTTATAAATGTATTTTTTTTTCTTTTTCTTTAGCATAAATATTGAATTTATAAGTGAACGAATTTACTAATTATGATTAAATCAAATTAATAATTAAATTAATTATTAATTAAAAATAACTTATAATTAAAATGTAATCAACACTTTATATACTTACAGTTTTTATTATAAGATTATCAGGTTCTTTTTAATACAAATCTGATGATAAAATGATATCACTTAAACTAACATCCCTCTGGAGTGCTATTGATGCCACTGAAAGTGCATAGTGTAATTAAATTTTAATAGATATAAGTATGAAAATAGCAAGATGAAGAAAAAAGGGCCATTGGAGTCACAGATCATTGAAAGATATAAGCAATGAGTGTTGTTTCAGACAAACAGAAGCAAGCAGGGTCTGGTTCGGCACCTGCAACTCCTCAGGGGAACAACCTGCCTCCTGCTGTTCCACCTCCCAGCATCTCCAGGAACCCTCTCAGAGGATCTAAATGTAACTGCTTACATTGTCATTACCTATACCCTTGCCATATCCATTACTCGCATTTTAATGTAATTACTAGACTATTGGTACTATTTTACACACCACAGTATAGGTACTGTTTTATACACATACACATACAAGAGATCTGTATGAAAATGTTGCTTTATTTGGTAGTTAGATCAAAGCATTTAAGGTGAGGGTTTATCATTAGTAAATTTCTGCAGCTTTCTATAACATTTTTTCAAAACTTTATTAAAAATTATTTAAGAAAATATCGATATTCATTAAAATTTACAAATCTTTCCAAATTTTGCTGTTGTATTCTAAATGTTTGCATTGTTACTAATTATACCTAATTGTTCTTTTTTATAAATATTTGATCGATTTTTTTAAGCACTATTTAGATGTAATTAATTATAATGAAAATATCAAGATCCATCGTATAATTAAAATATAACTGAATATAACTAAAAATTATATGAAATATAATTAAAATGTAACATAAATAAGTGATTGTGTTCAGTTGAAATTAACGGAGAGATATATTTGTATAGAATTTTAAGTGACCAATTTTAACGAAGCACTCCTTTCACACACCTTTATCTTTATCTTGCTCTATTGGTTGTTCTCTATCTATGGTATTTGGTAACAGTTTTATTACCATAGCTCTTCCAATATAATTCTATTGTCATACAGGATATGTGGTTAAATAAAATATCTGGTGACTTACAGTGGTAACGTGTATTATGGTTCCTCCACTCTGCACTCTTTTAGATCAGCAGTGTACGTATACTAACATTGTTCAAGCACACTAAATTAATGTTACGTGCATAGAGACATATTGTAAGATAATAACTGGTGATATACTGCTAATTCACAGATAATTAGAAGGATACATATCTAACATTAATTTATTTTTAGCTTTGAAAGCACATTTAAAATATTTCTTCAGTCAACATAAATGGTCTTATATCTGTAGATACATCTCACACAATAAAGGGAAGAAATATTTTTTGTTCTTGTTTGACTAACACTGAAACAAGCTTGCTTAGACAATAGGCTTTAGTTCTAGAATTACATGGTAATCTAATCAGGCAACTTAATATTTTGTTTTTTTGTTTTTTTTTTTCATAAAGTGTTACTTACATAAATTGTTTTTCTAACAATCTTTTATGTAAACTTATATCAAGGGGTTCTTCTATCAACACGGCTCATTGTGAAATTTTTATTTATATTTTATGCTCACTCTTCCTTGATAAAAAAGACATTATTAATTTAACATAGAAGTTAGAGTTAAGAAGAATTGTGCATTTTGGAAAGTTTCTGAAATTGAAACTATCTATGGTGTATTAATAAAATGGTAGCAAATTTCATGTCATACACATTGATTCATAGATATCTCCCATTTCCTTTCAAAAAAAACCTTCAGTACCTAACATCTCGAGGCTAATTCTTGAACGGGTCAATTGTAAATTAATTTTTGAAACTTTCTCTGTTGCCTCTATAACAAACACATGTCCTCATAGAATTAATTAAATAAAGGGAGTTGGATTTGGATAAAGTTGAAATACGAATGTGGGGTTGGCTACTGACGGGGCCTCAGGTGAGCCTCTTATGAGTCTGTTACTGCATGGCTCACTTGTAATTCGTATTTATTTTCCAAGTGCAGATATCTTTTATGATATAGCGTAATGTGATTCTGCAAGCAACCCTTTTTATATTCATTAGTCGCATCATTGTCCAATGTAGTTATTGTAAATGTTCCTTTTGTATCACGATATCTCTTTCCCCTCTTGTACTTCTTTTTTTTTTTCTTTATTTCATTGAATGTTCGTAATGCTAAAGTTAATACGATTAATCAATATGTACAAGGTTCAAAATTATTATATGAAGTTATCGTATCTCATTTTCGAATTATCGTCACTTTACTCGTAATTTCGCATGTCGATAGTTAACATCTTTGCTTGCAGAACATGTGTATCGTATGCCCTACCGATTCGTAGAGAAGTATACAAGAGATATACAAACACGAGATGAAATTGCGTAATCTCTTATATATGGTTAACTGTTCTGAGAAAAATCGAGAAAAGAATATCCTATCATTAACACTGTAGGAAGTACATATGTCATTATTGTTAGAAAAACAATTTAAAAGAAGAAATTGGACTTCTGCAGATCTGTATATGATTTGATGGTGATGGTGTATGGGTTTTCTTATATCTCTGCTAATGTAACGTGCTATACTTTTTTGCTATTATCTGTATCTCCTATCTATTATTTTTAATGACTTAATGCAGCAATTAAAACTATTTTGTCGATTTTAGAATGTGCTGATATGTTTTTCTGTTGAAAGATCGTTGATGTTTCAAAACGAATATTAAGTTGTAAGAGAATATAAGTGTAGTGGACACAGAAATTTATGTCAGCATAATTAGAGAGAATGCTGTCAAAAAAGAGCTCGTGAGAAGTGCATCTGCTACTTGTTGATCCGGTGACAATTATTTTGTTTGTCCTGTAGATATTTAATCACGTTGCGCTATGCCTTAAACACTTGGAAAGTAAATTGATTTCTATCTGTCGTTGAATCGGAGATTTTATATTAATTTCTCGATTAATGATATTATCTTTTTCGATACAGATACGTTGACACCGCAAACGTAGTTCCTTTCTGCTTCTTACAATTAGTCTTACAATTAGTTTATAATTATTTCCTTTTACTCTATATTAAGAAGAGTAACGCCATATCAATTAAGTTAATCAACGAAATAATTATTTGATAAAAATTGCTTCTCTCGAGAGTAATATATTATTATTAGACTCGATTTATGCACCTAAATGTAGCGTTTGACGCTAACTGCGATTAAAAGGTACAATTTATTTTCCATAATAATAAACGAGTTTCCTTGATTCTTATATATTATAGAGAAGAGAATAATTTTTATCGTTTTTTTAATATTGTAACGACTAGAAGTTAGAAATACTACATGTCATTGTAAGAGAACTTTTGATATCGAGTATTCAGATTTACTACGAAAAGTTAAGTGCTGCTTTGTTCTCTACATACCGTGTGTCCACAACCAACAGGGTTTCTTCGCAGCAGAAGAGAGAAAAGAAAGGAAAAGAAGGCGAAAAAGAAGAAGGATATTGTGGAAACGAGCAGCAACAAAGAAGAAAAGTCTGACCTGTCAGTATATGCTCATTCAGCAGATCTAGTGCACCAGAGATCAATCCTATGATCGAGCTTAAAAATTTATCATTGGAGAATATTAAAACCATGATAACCAGTAGCACAAATAGCATTTTTATACAAAAAGCTTGATCATAGTATTAGATCTTATGCCTACCTCCTTTATTCTTTTTTTTTTTCTTTTTATTCTTCTTTTACAATTTTTATTGGCACGTTAGTACCGCTAAAGCACAATGATGTTGTAACGTAAAATAACGCACGATTATTAATAATTTAGTTTCTGATACGTAAAATAAAAGACAGAGAAAAGAAAGAGATTTTATCATGTGTACATGATGCACTGGGCCTGCTGGAACACTTGAGGGTATATCCTACTGAACTGTGCTAATTCTATATAATAGGGAGGATAAGGATGACAGTAGAAAGTCTGAAACACCGACACCGGAAGTAGATGAGGATGGTTTCTGTATTAGACCGAAAGCAGAGCCGTGGGAGAATGAGAAAGGATTTTATTCTAGCTCAGATACCGATTCCGAAGATGAGAGGGAACGAAAGATCCGAGTGGAAATAAAACCACTAAGCAACGGCGGAGCACCGATGAGCGCCAGCGTGGACGAACTCAGGGCGACCGTGGAAAATCTATCGTTATCGCCTGCACCGACGGTACGTTCTTTATTTCTCTTCGATTTTTCTTTCTTAGGTGTTAATACTTTCAGAGGATCTTTTTTCTCCAACGATATCCTTCCGATTACGTAACAGGGACGCAGAGGATCAAATAACGATTCAGATCATCATATGAAAAGGTCTCAGTCAGTGTCACAGCAATTAGGAGGTAAGCCAAGCTCGGATTTACTTGGCCTAAACTTGTTCAATCCTAGCAGTACACCATCGAGCGCCTCAACGCCGACTGGTAGTCATCCGTACGCGCCATTGCAAAGTCCTCCGCCACTGTCTTTGTCACCGACGCCTCAACCACAGCCGCCACAATCCGCACCACCTACACATCCTCACCCACGATTCCCTGGTGAGTTTACGGGAGTCTCGTCGTCGCACTATCTGCTTATCGGGACGCTTTCTGTGTCTTGTCAAAAGTATCATGTCGTTATATGTGTACTATGGGAACTTAGGCTATGTACAGGAAATGTAGAAGGTTTCATCGTTTGCAGATGGAGATTTGTTTTCGGAAGTAGGAGACATCACTCCGGCCTTACCTCCCAAGCAATCCGCATCCTCCACTCCGACAGGATCCATCATCATTCCTAGACCTCCGTCCCGAAGAGGAGAAGGTCCTTCGCCAAGGGGTAGAATGTCACCGGCAACTATATCCAGAGCCGATAGCGTGGCTAGCTTAGAATTTCGTACAGCTGGTGTTGGTGTTGGCTCCTCCAGGGGCCCATCTCCGCTCACGATTGGACTCGCAGACACTATACCTTTAGCAGTTGCTTTCCATGAGATAGTACACTCTTATTTCAGAGGTACCGATGAAACACGGTGTCAGGTGAAACTCAGTGGAGATATGATGTTATCGTTTCCTGCTGGTATCGTCGCCGTGTTAGCGAATAATCCAAGCCCTGCGAAACTTACGTTTCGCGTGCGAAACAGTAATAGATTGGAAAAATTGTTCCCTAATAATCAGCTTGTCAGCATGTAAGTTACGATAGGATGAAGATTGTGGTAAATAGTTCGTACGAGAATGTTCTAATATTGATATTTTGTACAGGGATGCAACGCAGACAACTGTCGACAGTACAATTTTTGAATTCAATATGAGTGCCTTAACTACGTTGTTACGCAAACAGGCTGAACAAAACCCTTCAGCTTCGTATTTTAACGTCGACATACTCAAGTATCAAATCAAGTGCAAGGAGGGAGCAGGTTCATGCCCTTTCCAGCTGGTTGCCTATTGGAAGTGTGAAACGACTCATACCGATCTTAAGGTACGTACTTATAGTTGATACATTACTACAGCAATCTTTTGCTAAACAAACAATTTACGGGTGTTTCAGATTGATTATAAATATAACAGTCGTGCTATGGCTTCTCCAAGTCCACTGCTAAACCTTCATGTGGCTGCGCCCATAGACGGAGGTTTCAAGTCACTGAATAGTAAACCTCAGGCACAGTGGTTACAAGACACGAATCGGGTACTGTGGAAGTTCACGGAACTGTCGCAGCACAGCGAAGGTAACGGCGTAGGCTCATTGAAAGCTCGGGTGGAACTTGCGCATGGGCCAGGAAACCAAGGAACCATATTCACACAGTTTAATTGCGAAGGGACCACGTTATCTGGTGTTGAGTTCGAGCTTTTAGGCCCGGGGTATAGATTAAGTTTAGTAAAGCGTAGATTCGTATCTGGTGAGTGATTTACTTTCTATATTTTTGTCTCTATCTGTTTGTTTCTTTAGCTTCTTTAGTTACGATAGTGTCCTTACACGCGCGATGTTCTTACAAGAAGTTAACAATGTATATAAATTACATTACGAGAACAATTTCTGTGTACTTTCAGGAAAGTATATTTGTGATGGAGATTCTGACTCACGAAGTAGATACGCTGCTCCACCATCCAATGTGGATTGACGACTTCCAGAATGGGCGCCTCAATGGGAGAGCCTGCCCATTTAATATTGGCACTTGCTTGTTCATTCACTGCCCATACCACGACTAATGTTCGTTCAAATTCGAAATCGGCGTGGGGAAGCCTGTTGGATACCAAAGAACGTGTGCGATACAATAATAAGATTACATAGTAGACGAATAATTTGTACAGATGCCGTGATGCTACGTGATTTCCATATAGCAGAATGTAAAGTTTATTCGCGTTACGTGTTAAAAAAGGAAAAGAAAGGATCTTGGATACGAGAAAGCGGCAAACGAAGATCACATAAATTCGTATCCTTCATAAATTAAGATGAGTATGGTACGATATATATGATCCTAGGCGAAGAAAATATTTGGACAGAAATGTAACGAAAAACATAGTTGGACTTCGTAAGTCACTCGCTACCTGATGAATAGCGTTCTGTGTTTTATAACTTGTATATTTTTCAATTTTTCTATATATTCTCGATTAGATTGTACTATTTTAGTAAAGTTTGTACGTGATACGTAAACGAGGTGTAACTACGACGACGACGATGACGATAACGACAGCAGAAAACGTTTAAAACGTCGAAGAGTAAGTAGACTTTTCTCGCATAAAACCTTTGGTGTCCAGCATATTTTTCACCACGATATTCTCGCCATATTATTGTGTCTATATATATATATATACATATATATAATCAAAATACATACGTTATGACTTTTTTTACCTAACAGCACGGAAAAGCTCTAGAAAAGATCATCAAACAGTACAATGTTCTTAATCTATTGTTAAATTTTGCGTTAATTTTAATGTAATTATTATATATTGCTATCTTATCGTTAAGAAGGTTTGAAAGAAATGTAAAGATTCTGTAACACCAATTAACTTCGTGTCTGTACATTAGCGTTTCTATTTTATACGAAGGCCCTATATTTACTTTTTAAATTTTTCGATGTAGTCCTATGATATACGTTTTCAGATCTGTTTTTACCGATATCCGCGGAATTTTTGAAAAAATATTTGGTTACACGTACATTTAAAAAATTAATGGTTCTCGAAATGAAATCGTGTTTTTCGTTTCACAACACAATTCAACTTTATTGCGCGGCGATTCCTGCGTACGTTGACGCTGGTAAAGAAAAAAAAGCAAAAAAAGAATTGCAACGTAGTTTTGCTTTATTTATGAACAAAGAAAATAGCGAGGACGTTAAGAACAAAATGTTCGATAGATTAGTAATAGTTCATACGTATACTAAGTGAAATTGGCAAGTAATGGAAAGGAAATGCTTTATTAAAATGATTAAACATACGATTTTAACATTGTAACAAACAAATTAGTTGCGCGATTTGCGATTAATTTTTTAGATCTTACGAAAGTTTCGAAGAATTGCAAGTTAAATTTCATGGTAGTTCCACAGTGATCGTTTCATTCTTTCCATTATTGCAAAATTAATTCAATATTTTTTGTGTAATTATCATTAAATATTTCCTATATTTATTATTTTAAAACGAGAATTACTACGTTAACTTTTAATGTGAATCGACTGTATCCTATCGTTTTCTTGTTTTTCCTTATTCTTTCATTTTCAGTATTTTTTGTAATGATTTTGCGATATATTCCTAAAGCGAATCGACCGTTTTTAGAGACAGTCCATCTCGTTTAACAGTTACATGTGCATACATACCGCCTGTGTGTATATGTATATGTGTATATAAAAACGAAGTAATAACTTTAAGAATAAGTCTGAAAAAATCGAATTCGAATATTATTATATAGTCCAGCACACACGATGCTTCCTTTTGTGCAAATTTAGATTATCGGCAACAAGTTGTATCCTCGTGCATAGTTCACACAGTGTAAAATATTTTTTTAGTTTCTTCCATTCGTTTTAAAAGTTATAACATTTTACTTTTTAATTTTTTATCGATATTTTAACAAAGCTATTAGATTTTATGAAAAATATCTCGTTTATTTCTTTCCTAATGTTATATTTATAACGTCCGATAAAAATGACAAATTCAGTTAACATACTCAAAGATCTGGATTGTCTAATTTTGATCTATGCACGAGTCCCAGTGATACTTGTTGCAAGGTATTCGTTACCTGGCTCTAAAAGTGCATTATCCTTTAAGCTATGAAGTAATTCGTAGAAAAAGTGCGAACGCTATGTTTGGTTATTGGATGACAAGCACGGTAAACTTTTTTATAGCTATCATTCATTTGAAAGGTACATTGTAAGATGATTTTATATTTTAAGAAAACTGTTTAGCGTTTAACCGCGAAGCTCCACCTCTATTTTACGAATTTACATTTCATTTTGTTATTATTATAGTAATGATTACTATTATTATCATATACTCATGTGAAAAAGGAAAACAAAGAAAAGGTCTACGAAGAGCAATATAAAGAAACCATCTAAGTAATGCGATAATATTGGTGACCACTCCATTCGATGTTGTTTAATACTTAACAAATATGTTGATATGTTTCTTTTAGTAAAGCTTTTACATTAATTGATCCTATTCTGAAAGCATTTGATCGGAAAAAATTGTTTGGAAATGTTTGATTATGTACATCGACAGTATTTAAAGATTAAATATCTATCTTTGGTACATGGTTGGGCATGATAATGTTAAAAAAGAAAAAGATAAATAAGGACGAAGAAAAAAAGAAAAGAGCATACGATTATTATGGAGTGGTTCCTGCGAAAAATCGACTGAGCTCTTCTGTGATACGCAGATGTCACTATAATTTCGTAATAAATGTTTGTAACGAAACATAATTAATGTTAGTATGATCGCGTTCACTTTCTTCCTGACTGAATTCCCGAACAAAGAACTGACGGTGTTTAAAAAGAAAACGTGGTTTAACTACGGCTTTTAATCACCCTTTGATATCATTACAGTCGGGCATAAGTTTTTTCGATTCCTATGCGTACGATTACGCAGAAATAAAACATATGATTAGATTTTATGCGACTCGCTTTTTACGTATTATTGTAATAATGACGAGAAATACAATTTTATCAGATTCTGATAAATAAAATCACACACACACACACACACACACACACACATACACACACGTACACGAAAGAAACTTTAACAAACACGCGCATTTTGTGTTGGAATTGACACGCATACAAAAAAATAAAGGCAGTCGTGTGTACAGGACTTAAAGTCATGTGTGAGAGAAAGGGAGCATGAAAAAGGAATGAAAGGAAGAGAGAAAGAGAGAAATGCGTTAAAAGATAGGATTGCAATGCAATTGCATATACATAATAAACTCTTATACATAGTATAAATACGAACAAAAAGATAAATTAATACGATATACATGTTACATGATACATAGAATGGTTATGTAAGCCTGTTGACATGTAATGTCTATGTTCTAATAAAGATTAGGATATTTTATATATAAATAAACCATCAATTGTGTATGTGTGCCGTGACTATGGATATCCTTCGTGTCAATACACATATTGACATTTCATTTCTAATGTATAAAATCGCCGATCTAATATGTTTAACAGAGACGAGAAGGTTTGATAAAAAGAATTAATGATACTTTGTACACTTGAAACAAAAAGAAAAAAGGAAATGAAATGGTATGAATGAATCAAAAGAGAAATTGTGAGTAACGCAGGATATATAAAAATGAAAAAAAAATATATAACATCAAGCGGAATACATCGAGTGTTGCGAATTGATTTCATTATAATCGGTACAAAACACTTGTATAGATCTCTTGCAAGTTCTATACCATCCTTATTATAAAATAAATTTCATGTATTATATATATATAATGTATATATAATGTAATGTAAAAATAACTTGCTCGGAATTTATATAAGCAATCATACTAATGTTAAGCAATTTACCGTCGACATTTTATTCGAAAGAGCCTACTGTTCGATACTGATAAGGTACATAATTTCAATAAGCGACTCCGTTATAAGTACAGAGAAACTGAGAATTTATAATTCAACGTATGTTTACTAGGATTCACTGTTTTTGTTAATGACTATTAATGCATCTTCTCAGGTCCCAGTTTGGATATTAGGTCAGATTTTACTAACCATAAAAATACATATATTACTCTTTAAATTATTCTTCTCCTGTAGAACTTGTGAAATTGTAACACGGTATTGTAACTATCCTTCACAACCATTCGTACTTCTCTTATAGAGAACTTTTCAAAAAATGTTTCAGTAATTCATCGCTGTGCATATATTGGATAAGCATATCCTCGTACCTGAAGATCAAAGAAATATTTTAAGACAATAAGTTACTTAACGTCTTAATACTTAAAGCATTGAATATATTATTTACTTCGGAGGCACTTGGATGTCCTTTCCCTCAAAAGGTCCTACTCGTTGAACTCTTTTCAAGATTGCCGATGCCAATACTCTCTCGTACTCAAGATATTTCTTGTCCTGAGTGAACCATAGCGCCAAAGCGCATCTCTTACCTCGTAAAATACCACGAACTCCATGGAGATTTTCTTTACCAGCAGAAAAGGCCACAATTCGTCCGCAACGTGGTGAAACAACGTTATCCGTTGTTCGAACAACGCGATCTTCGGCGAAAAAGAATTCACCACCTTGAAAATCGTCATTCAGATACAAAATCGCAGAGTAGTCTCTCCAAATATAAGCTGGACTCTCGCGAAGACAGACATCTCTATCCTTCAATAGGCAATTATCCGCGTGAACTTGATGACTCAGATCGTCTCGATTCACCGGCGAATCTAAATTGAAATAAAAATGATTTGCTGCTTTATTACGGGATAGGTATTCATTTTTTTCTTTTGTGTGTACATGTTTCTTTTTTCAGGTTAAAGAAAAAGGAAAAATCTGGAAGTGATTATTTAGTTATGTTTTGACTGGTCACCGTTACCCACAAGTCGTACCAAGTGAATCGGTGCAACGCGATTTCGGCTGCGAAAGGAACCAGAAGCACGATGATGCATCAGGTGAAAATTACCGGGTAGAGCTGTGCGGCAGACCAAATGAGTGTAGGTGAAATACAGATGTCGATGATTTAGTCCGAAATACCTTTCCACATGGTCCCGGACTTGTTCGGTCTTTTCTAAAAGCAATTCCAACCATTCTGGTTTTATTTGTCCAAAGTATACCATCTAGAATCAATATCATTATCATTAATACATCAGCATATTATTGTAGACATTATATGAAATAAGAATATTTTACCAAAGCCGCTCGCCCAACAGTTATTCCCTCAAACTTTTCATATTTTGAATGTGGACTTTTATTTTCACTGTAACCATCTCCTTCTACCGCAGTCATCTATCATTATATACATATATGTACATTAAAATAATTGTTAATACAGATACAAACTTTGAAGAGTAAAATAGAAGTTCTTAATGATACATACAGTAGCGAACTGCATCATAGATTCACACTCAGTGGAATTAAGGAAACCATCAGCGACATAACGATTTTGCCCACCAAGATCCTCTTCTTTTAAATAGATATCGTTTTTGGCCTCAAAATATCTTTTATCGTGTATTTTGTGGTCCTCGAGTCGTTTCATTGAAAAATTGTTTGATAATTTCGTGTAATAAAACAACGAATAACCAGGTGGTGGGTGCAGTATTGCTTCTGTATCTGATATCTGAAAAATAACCGGTTAAAAGTGGATTCCTAGAAAAATTAATCTACTAATCGCCTACATGCTTGTATAATAAACGCATGGATGCATTCTGGGTTGCATCCCATAGGCGTTTCAACGAAAATTCGAATATGACATCCATTAGAAACATAAGTAATTCGAATGGAAAAAGAACTAGTTAGTTGATAAAAAAGAAAGTATTTCTGTTTGTGAATATTTTATTATCTTTTTTTTCAAAAGATATACAAACGTAATCAAGAGCTTTTCTTAAAGTACAAACATGTTAGACTTTAGAAAATAACTGACCGATTCGTACGCGTAAAAATCGAATAAGTGTTTCAGTCGATTGGTTTATTAGTATCAAATATGTATTTTCAACCTTTTTTATATCTCATTCTTTACCTTTCTCGGCTCTTTCTTTTCGGTATTATTCGTTTCATTGTCCTGTTTCTCTTTTTTTATCTTCTGGAATTTCTCATTTATAACCGAAAATTCATTAGAAATGTAATGCAGCAGGTTCAATTCGTATTCCTGTCTTTTTACGTAATTGATAGCGTCCTAAAAAAAATAAAAAATAAAAAAGGAATATAATTAATTTTGTACATGTTATTAGCATTTATTGCATTTTGTATTTTCATATTTTTAGGTGATAAATGATTGGGTAGTCACCTCTCTCGGAGAAAAATAATCAACCTTGACTTTTGGCTGAGCGTTATAGTATTCTTTGTTTTGCAGCATCGTTTTATCCACCGGATCAAAGAGCAAGAAACTTCCTACAGCGGCACAGGCTGCTTTTAAGTTTCCCACTATAAAAACACGTAATGATACATACTAATGTAGTATAATATTTTGCAAGGCTGCCCATGGTGGGAAATAAATTGGCTCAACGAGAGATTAAGTCAGCGGCAAAAAACTAGATTAGGCAACAGCTCGGAGCTATTTCCACGGATAAACGATGTCGATCATTAAAATGGAACAGCCTAAGCACTTACGCAAGATTAATCCAATTAAACGTCCTTCGAGCTATGACTAAGAGCTTCCTGAAGAGCACTATTCACGAAATTACAATTAATTTGCCACGGTAATTGCAAAGGTGTAACATTTATAAGTTAACTATTCGTACATCAAGGTGTTATTATCAGTAAAATTCATGAATAACTGACGCATATATGTTTGTGGTCTATTCAATCACGTGTCTCTAGTATTCATAAAATTTCTCAGAGAAAACTTCGCTACATTTTACAAACAAGATATTGGTGGCGATAAATGCGCCAGTATATATATTGTTAGCTTATTTGGTACAAGGCTATGCATTTTTTAAATACGAAAAATGTACAGCGTATATTATCACAGAAGTTAGAGATAGATACGTGTTTTGTGCAGCTATGATTAAAATTTTGCGTTCCTAGCTTCTAAAATCCCTATTAACTTATCTTAAGTTCGCATCGTAATTCGACTAGCGAGTATACTCACATTTGTAATAAGAGAACTGCAAATAATCGTAATGACTTCTGAACATGTGTCTGCGGTAATCGCCATTTATATTGTTTAACATACGCGAACACGATCGTTTGCACTTCAAACAGTACGTAAAATGATCTGAAAGAAACGGAGGGCTATTTTTAGGAAACAACAATATACCGGCTTTCGTTTATGTTTCAGATCCACTCACTTGCGATGGAGGAAGTAAATTCTGGATGCCAACCCTGGTCAAAAGGACCTTCGCAGTAAAATCTACATTCCTCCTCGGCTTCTAAGTACGATCGTAACGATGTCTCGAACAGACCGACGGCTTCTGCATAATCTCCGTTTTCATAAGCTGAGACACCTTTGAAGTAAACGCTGACATAAGTCGGTGTTTCTAGATTTACCACCTTCTCCTCTTCCACACCTGGCAGTGTTAAATAGCGTTTGAAAAGATTCAGATTCACCTCATGATTAGAATGTACGACTAGATAGGTAAATAGCGCGTTGGCTGCGTCTTGATATCGATGTGTCTGTAAAAAATATATTTATTAAGAAATGATAAAAAAAAATCAGAATAGAATTTATGGAATTAGGAGATGATGCAACGTATATGAAACCTTGTACTAAAACATGGGATCAGTGTGAGAAAGTTAATTAGTATTGCGAAAGACGAAAATTTATTAGAATCATATTTCATGCAATTATGAGATCTGATTGTTTGAAGGGATATTTTATGAGACGCATATGCAATACGCTCCGGTACATTGCTACCGAACATCAGCACGCCGATTACGTAGGCTAGGCTTTATGGTCGAGTTGACTGGTCAGAGCATTAAACTCATTATTTATCTGCTAAAAAAGTCACTAGTGTAAGGTTTACGAAGCCACGATTGCGTAAGTTCTCTTATTAGAATTCGCCAGACTCTTTTATGGGATACTAAAGAAGCATCAATCCTTTGCTAAATTTAAAAACTGAAAGCTATAATAAATCGATTAATTTATCCCATATTTTATAATACACACATACATAATAATATATTTGCCATTTTATAATTTTTCATATTTTTTGCTTCTTTTAATTATCTTATGCGGCACCAAAGAAAAAAAGGATTAAATCATAAGATAATTTCTAATAGTTATTCTTTCTTTTTAGTTACCTGATAGTAGCAAATATGCAGGTATTCATATATACCATTGTTCAACAATTTCTGTTCAGTTTCACGTGGTAACATCTTCAGCACATTCGAGCCAACGATCTCCCGATATTCGTTATTGCACGTTAAGAGACACAGTGTCTCTTTGATCTTTTTTTCATAAAAGTGTAAATCCTCGATGTTTTGTGGAAAAATCGGTGGTGTACCTTCAGCTTTCATACGGCATTTTCGTCTACAATTTGTTATCATTCGCTTGTAGGCCTTGTATCTAAAAAAAGTATCAAATAGAATAAAAAGAATATTGAAAAAGATATATGTGCACAGTGAAACGCTTTATATTTTGTTATGTTTGCAGTTTAAAAACTGAATTTCTATTTTCTAGTAAGTAGTAAAGGTATACGTATAGGTATTCTCTTGCGCTAATTACTAAATATTTTTCGCTAATTATTTTTTTTTACCAACTCTTTTTATAATTATCTATAATTATAGATTAGATATAATCGTTATTCTTATAATTCATAATTTCAATTTCAGATTTACCCATGAGAAACTGTGTTGAAGTCTTGAATGCAACGGACCCAGTCTTCGTCCAGATAAGCGTTCACAGCATCCTCGTATATTTCGTTCAGAGTTCTATTATTTGCGAGTCTATTCTCCTCGTTCTGCTCTTCTAAATCCAGTAGCTCGTCGCTGGGGATTACGTTGCTCAAGGTGTCGTTACTACCAGCGATCGCGCCGCAGAAGAACAAGAGTATGACGAACCTCATCATCGTGGATACTACTCAACCGTCCCGATTCATACTGAAGTCCCTCAAGGAGAGCTGAAAGCTGGAACTGTGAGATGTGATCCACACACGAGACATACGTAATCACCTATCCCCTCCATGTTCTCTCTAGTTTCCAAATGTAGCTGCAGTGCTGTATCATAATCGTGAATCCTCGATCCACCGACGTCTGATGCGTTTTTTACCATTTTAGGAATACCGCTCTGTCAAAAGTATCCATGAATATTTTAATTTAAAAATAGAATAACAATGGACTCGTTAATATTTTATACGGGGCGTCTCAGCTTAATGAGATCACATAAATATCTGCCTTATGTACGGTTGTACGACAAGCTTCTCAGGACAAAGTTAAGGTATTTCAGGGGGCACGTGTATCGATGGGAAGAATTTTTTCTGAAGATCATTTTTCGTCAAATTGTAACGTTTTAAATGAAATTCTATATTTTATTATTCATCAATTGACGCATTTTCTTGTTCTATATACAAACCTATCAAGATACTTGTGCCTGAAACGGTTAGTTTAAAAGATATTTTAACCTTAATTTCGTAACACTTGTCGTATGGGAGACAAGGAAAGTACGTAAGTGCCTTGGTACTTTTGTACAGGGAATAAAAAGCTACATCCACTGGAGTAAAAAAATATATATAGAGTTTTATTAAAAAACATATCGATGACTTTGAGGTCTCTTAAAAAAATGAACTTGAGAAAAATTTCTTTCTCAGCTTTAGATTGAAATACTTCAACTTTGTCCTGACAAGTTCCTTCATAAATAAGGCAGATATTTAGGTGATCTCTCTAATGTCGAAGATTTTTAGTATAGATCTTAAGTATTATAAGCTTCTTAAGTATAAGAAAATAGAAATCCTTCGTAGAGCGTCAAAGGAGGCGGGAGCGTATAATGGAGTTAATTTAGTAAATAAGATATCGAAATATTTATTAAAGATAAATAGCTATATTTAGTGATATTTCTGCTGACTTGTATTCTCCTATTGTATTAAATAAAAAAGCGTCAAGCGATACCGCGTTATGAAGATTAATTTAACAATCACACGTCGAATCGAATACATATTTCGTTATGAATCGATTTCAAAATGATCGATAAATATTTTACTATTTTTTTTTTTTTTGCAAATGATGCAAATTATTAGAATGTCATAAATCACTCTTTCACGTTCAACTTAAACGATTAACAATAAAATGCATCAAAACTCGCAAACGTTTCTATAAAAAAAATTAACATAAATTCAGATTTAAATATATACGTATATAAGATATACGAAAAATATTATAATGAGAATTGAGCAACGTTAATGCTTCGCTAAAAATTGTGAAGCTCTAAGAGAAGCTAAAGAAAATATGTACTCAATGATATAGTACTTCAGAGTGTGAGAATTTTCTCGAGTTCTTTAATTTTGAACGGTAATATATTTAAAAAAAAAAGGGAGAAAAAACGCCACAGTTGAAAGACACTGACACAAAAAGATGATGCCAAAAGACGTCTCCCAAGTACGTTCACACTTGACCTACTCCAATTTTAATTTTTTTCTCTGTTCGAACGTTAGCTTGGATCGCGCGCATTGTATCACAATATGAATAGAATCGGAAGGAAAAACAACAAAGCGTGTAATAAGAAACGAAACTGTATTTCATCTGGAGAGTGTGTAATATAATTATCAAACGTTCATCAAGTTCGCTAATAAACATTCTCATGGAGAATATCCGTTTGCTTATCACAAAGAAAAAAGAACAACGAAGTCTATAGAAGATCTTAAAAATGAAGAAGAAGTTATCAGAATTCGAATATTGATCGCAAAGCGTCGCTCTCCTGTGTTTTCTTTTTTCTAAAATTGTTTGATCATCGTTGATTAAAATTGAACAGTTCCAGACGAATATATGGCGTCGTTTTATATGTAGAAATATTCGCCGTTATTATTTTTACGCAGTTACAACATTTTTTACCCTCGTGAAACAGGAAGGAAAAACGCGTATTAAGAAGCGACATCCTTGAAGCTGTTTCGAGTTTTCCACTTTTCTGTTAACAAATTGACAAATTTTAAGGATTGATCGTTTGAAGGATACAACAACGCTTGGCGTCAGCAAAGAATCATCTTTAACGCTTGCTTGCCTCGTAAAACAACTCCCAACAAATTCATGAAATCCCTGCAGCGATCACAATCCGTATAAATATAACAAAGCATTGTTCAACAAACAAAGCATCGATCGTCTTGTGCTGTACATCACTTAGATCGCATACAATACGTAGAAAAATCTCTTCTCAAAAATTTCTATTTTTCGTTTTCGAATAGAACTTATGACGGATCAATTAGCAGTTATTGTGGCTTTCGAATTTCTAGCTCGTCCATTTATGATTTGTTCTTACAATTAAGGACCGGAGTTGCTGCCGTCCATTGACCCATCGCAGAACGCTAATTAGTATCACTTACTCGTCTACGTGCAGAACGAGAATGAAAATAATCTATAAAGCAAAAATGATAAAAACAACAACGATCGTGGCTCTTCTACGCTTCTACAAAGAATAATAGCCATATTATACGTCTACTATAATAGATTAATAATATCTCACCATCGAAATCTTAGGGACGATTGTTTCTTATTCCTTCGTTTCCTCGAATTTGTTCTGAATTCTAGAATCCGTGCCGAATATACATTTCCGTTTTTAAAAAAAGATTTAACATCGTACGAAATGTCCGGACGAAAAACATTCAACATTTCCTTGGAGCTTCTTTGTCTCCGATCACGACACATTTGTATTTTTATTCATATTAATTTTCTTATTCTTAATTTCTTTTAATCTCGTTAGCCTCATAGAGCAGCGAATTCGTCGGATTCGAAAAAACGCCCAAGCTGCCTCGAAATTCTTGGGAAACGCAATACGACTACCGGACTCTTAACTAAGACGACATCAACGCTATAACATCGACCATATATCAACCATACGTTAAGCAGAGGAAAGGGGATACGGATAAAGAGGAGAGGTGCAATAATGGCTGTCTGAAAAAGTCTTAGTAACGATGCAGAAGATTATGCGATCATCGAGTAATCGACACGCGAGTTTCTTCTTATCAAACTTCAAGGTTAATCGCGATGCTTCACCTGACTTCGAAAAGTTATTTCGTAAACGAATACAAAAATCGAACGGAGCCAAAATGTTTTGCATGAGAAATAATTTAATATAGAGTAAACGATATGCCAATAATCTCGGTTAGAATTTGTCGCGAATACTTGTTAACGAAAAATCCTCTAGGAAGGTATGTGCAAAGATGATGACAATGGTACTCGAAACTGTGCCTCGTAACGCTGCTTACTTCTCTAAAGCCAGTTTTTCCTTAAGTATTTCCTTATCGTCTATCTTTATATTTAAAACGGTGTACAATACATAACGCAATAGGAGCTCGTACTTTACTCGTAAATGATCAATATCGCGCGGCTATGTTATTTCGCCATTTCTTGTTGCTTTAGCTAATAGACGGGAAACAAATATATTTCATTTTCTTGGAGAGAAAGAAAAAGGAAAGAAATATATAACACAAGAATTACTCAGTTCATCGTTAATATGATAATCATGGTGGATATGTTTAAAAATCTATAAGAGCAAACTGTAACTTCTTATGGCTGAGACACACATACGTTATATGTATATATATACCGTGTTGCTCCTTATGGCAATGTTTCCTTTTCCGTACAATAAGCAAGCTTTCGCGAAGAAAGCGTCGATAAACGCGGTAAACAACTTATAAAAACCAAAAACTGCAGCCTGTCTCACTCACCATTTCTTTTCTTTTTTCACAATTAAAACATACGCTTCTTTCGTTAACTAATACATGGTTTTTTATATACAGAATAAATTAACGCATACCTAATACTAAAAAAATGATTACATTGCGTCTCAGAGGACCAAGTCTGCCCTTCGAAACAGTCGCAACTTTTATTTTTCTTTTATCGCTAAAGAACTTTCAAGATGCTTCCAATGCGATATGTTCGCTACTCCGTGCTTTTTAATGCTATGTTTCTCTTTCTTGTTTCTTTTTTGTTATTTCTTCTGCTTCTTCTTTTATCACTTCTTCTAAACGAGTGAGTGATTTAGGTACTTGAAACTTGTCTGAGAGCACCAGTTCTCGCGAAGATACCTGAGCGGTACATGTTAGCACCAATTCGCATTAATTTCAATTAAATACATCACAGTGTGTAGTCGAATGAAATTGAGACAGGTTAATATCATTGTGCATACGGGAGCATCTTGTACACTAATCATTGCGGCGATAATTATTTACCGTATATACTCGCGCTATAGGCCGGTTTTAAGAGAACCTCCTCAAAGACATTCGTTTATAATCGATATTAAATGAAACATATAAGTCGTAAAAACGAAAGTTTCGTTATTTCACAAAACTTACAAATATGCATCTTATAAATATTTAACATGTAAACCTGACTTTTGTGAAAAAATTATAACTTCAGATGAATTATTCTATTAAATAAATTAAAAGATATCATTAAAAACTTTTCCATCTGAATCTGGATTACGAGTATATACGATATGCATTGCTTCCATTTTTTTTCTTTAACTTCACAAATATTACACATACTGAAAACCTATCTGTACGCGATTCGCTGACTGCTATATGTTGATCCATATATGTATGATGCGCTAGTAATAATTAGACGTAAATGTAAATGAGATCGTATAAATACTGTAGCCCGAAGTGTAAATTACACCAATTTTTTCGCTCTTATTTTCTTAATTTCTTGGAGAGAATTAGCAACTGTAATTTCAACAGACCGCGCTCATTTAAAACCGTTGAAATAGTAATTAATTGCAATTATCCTCTACTTTCATCTGGATTACGTTTGTATTCAATGATCGTATGACAAAAATTACGGTTACAGAATAGCGGTAGCGTTTAAATACCGCCACAAGATAGAAATACCAGCTAAAGCTATGTGTTCAGGTATGTTATTCGATGGAAGCCTATAAATACTTAATTCGAATACAAACTTCCTTTTAAAGCTGTAAACATTAAACCAGTTTACCTTTTTTTTTTTTTGATTTATCATCTTTCTGATCTTACTCGAGTTACAATTTGCACGTCCGTGTATCTATCAGACATTCGACTTTCTTCTTTCGTAAAATTGTATCTTTTGTAAAACAGACAATTTGTTCCATTGGCAGAAGAAGTCGGATCATTACACGCAAACATTTTATCTCGTTACACTCTCAGATCTAAACAATCGATCGAATGATAATTATTTAATTGTTTTTCTTGTCCTTCCCAGTCCCCATAGCCTCAAATGTGTTCGAGTGTTGTGTGGAGGAAGTGTTACTTGAGCCGTCAGAGCTATCAATTTTGTACTTCTTCGATATTTTCCTCCCTTCCAGATTAGCCTCTGAATTTTTACCAGCTGCCTTTTGTTCGGTCACTTTATGAGGCACAGATGTTTTTTCATTGCCTTGAAGTAGTTTCTGCACCGCAGCCAGTGACACTTTCTCGTTGTTTTGAGATGACTTCTGTGATACACCTTGCATGAAGCCTCTTTCGTTGGCTTGTGATAATATTTTCTGGGCGGAAGATTGCAAACTCTTTTCACTAGCTTGCAACAATATTTTTTGACACGAAGATTGCGAGCCTTTTTCACTATTTTGTGATGATGTCTTTTGAGATGAAGCTTGTGAACCTTTTTCAATGTTCTGAGATTGCTTGTGAAACGTGCTTTGCGAACTACGCGCTTGTACATTAGAACAATTATCTGATTGAGCGCCCTCCTCAATCTTATTAATAGATAAAACTTCTAAATTTTTTGTACACAAATTCTGCCTCTCTGTCTTTGATTCAACACGATCACTACGGTCACCAGTATTCTCTGATTCTGTCAATTTACTCATAGACGTGTTATTTTTATCCATCTTATCTAAAGGTAGAACTTCCTTCGAGTAATCGTCAGCCTTTGAACCGGTCGGTGAATCCTTCTCTTCTGCTATTCTGGGCAGCTGTGTGCTGCCGCAAGAATTAGATATACCTACGTTTCCCAAATTGATCGATATCCCATGAGATATTTTCGAATAATCCGACTTTGATTCCGTTGACACTTTCTTCTCCACTTTTGAGTCGTTTGGCTCTTTGAAGCTATCACTACACTCCTCGGGGGTTTCTGAATAGGATTGCGCTATAGTTGCACGTGGAGTTACTTTCACCACTGTGTTTGCCAATGGTGAGATCGATGTTTTGTTCTCCGCAGATCGAGGATGAAGTCTGTCTGGACTAAGCGCCCTTCTCAACAACGGGGAACCGGGCTCTGCTGACTTCGGTCGTCCATAACTTTTTTTCTGATTGTTCGGCGTTGATAAGCAGACACCTAAGTGTTTCAAACATATTTATATCGATCATCTTATGATCATCTTATGTCCGCTTGTTTATAAATGCAACAGTTTAATTTAACTCTATGTACTAACTTTTTCTATTACGATTTTATATATACGATTACTTAAAGTTAAAAATTGTTTGCTGATAATTCAAAGTCAAATCAAGTATTATTTCAAAGTTACTAGCTTCGTATGTCGATTTATATATTACCTGGGCTATAGGACTGCGTAGTATTCGAGCTACCAGGTTGATGTCCTGTAGGAAAAGCTAGCGGACTAGGACTTCTAGTAGGACTGGCTGGAAGGGGCGATGGACTCGGAGTTCTCGCCAATGGAGACAATGGTATATGTCCCACAGATTTTCTACGATTCGGCGAATGAATGTTCTTTGCAGCTGTGTGTAATTTGTGCTTCAAACCGTGAAGGGTGCTCGGCCTCTGGTAATGGGACTGATTGGCGATAGTCGGTAGATTTGCAGCAGACGTAGTGGAGCCTGGAGACGAAGAGTTTGGACTGGAACAGGGACTTGAATTCCCCGTGGAGTGATAAGAATCCGAGTTAACGCGATTTGTTGGAGGTGACGGGCTGCAGACAGACTTTGTACAGGCTGCAAAGTATGGTGACGTTTCTTGAGAACGTGTGAATGACTGGAACGACCGACTAGGTGTTACCATTGACGGCGAACAGATTCCCGCAGCCATCTGCAAAAAAGGTCGTGTAACGTTTCTAGCAAATAGGTATGCTAGTATGTACTAGCCAGAAGATGAAACATCAAACTCTCTTCTTTCGAACACTCAAATATTTTTTGTGATCAGTGTACAGTGTAAAACTTTGACATTGTCACGGTCAATTAAAAAAAGAACAGATATGTAAAAGCTGTGATTTAGCCACGGGATTGTATCGGGCAAATAAGTATCGATCAAAGAAACAGCAACTAAAATGAAGTTAGCAAGAAGTTCACGGAACGTTACGAAAAATCATACCATAAGTGGAGGTTTGCTGTCGCTGGATAGAATGGGTGCTGACAATGGACAACTGATAGTTAATGGCTGCAATAAAAAAAAGTAATACTTAACATAATAAAGTGTGTTGCATAGAAATTGCCGGTGCTTTAGTATTTATGCCGCGCGTAGTATAGTAGTAGCAGTAGTAGTTTCGTGTTAAAATAAAAAAGAAGATTGTACAGATATACTCGTACATTCACAATTTAAGGCGTTCTTCAAAATGTTCACAAGTGATCTGACAAAAGCCACTAACACGTATCTTCAAATTAATTCGTTTAGATTAATAGAAAAAGAGGAAGATTAAAAGCAAAAAAGAAGTAAATTTTTTCTATACCTGTTGCATCTCTACACTAGCTCGTTTCGAACTAATTCGTTTAAAAAGGGACGTCTTTCGTTTCTTATCGGAATGATCACGTTTTAGTTTGCGCTGTTTATGCAGCGTTCTGCGTGCCATTTTGCTCTGAGTCAAATCTCTTCTCCTTCCGCCCGTCTTAATACTAGTATTTTCTAATGGTGTACTACGCAATGTTACGTGATCGCCACCACTCAACATTAATTGAAGAACTTGTATATGATATAAACCCTGGACTGGCTCGCCATTTATATGCGTAATAAGATCTCCTGGTCTTAAACCAGCTTCAAAAGCTGGACTGGATTGATCTACAGCCTATTGAATATGGAATAAATTCAAATAAACTATACATACTAAAATTTGACTTTGTGTAACTATTTGTAACATACCATAACCAAATGATGCATAGTGTAAAAATCACTATCACCATAATAAACCCTGATAGTGTGCACAGTGAAGCCAAATCCACACGGCCCTCTTCGAATGATAATAGGAGGTTTTAGGCTAGTTACCAGTGGACTCAGTTCGCGACAAGGGGATGTATCTCTTGAAGAGGCAGTGGATGATCCACCAGGAGATTCGATTGGTTGAGTATTTAATGACGCATCATCTAAAAAATGTGACTTCGTAATTAAAATTGAACATTAAAACTTAACACGAAATAATTTAATTCATAATAATATGTACAAGAGAAATCACTGGTTGGTATAACTAAGGACAATCCACTAGTGGATGCGGACTTAATTACAGACCGCGACTTTTGTTTCGCGGATGGAATAATTGATATGGCGTTGAATGATTCGAAAGAATCGGTACTAGAATTATGCTTGCTTTCCTCGGTTGTATCTCTGTTTGCAGCAAATAAATCCAACCTGAAATGAAATTTATTTGTTATAACTACACATATATAATTTTTTATCCATTATGCTTTGAAATTTGGATGGCTTATATGCATATTATTGAATTCAATGACAGTGGAGCTAATTTCGTGATAATGATTATAATGTTCGGGATGATGTATGTTTGAACGACTCACATGTGTTCATCATCAATGCATATACTGAACCTGGGCAGCTTATCACGAGAATGCACGTGTCGTTTTCTCTGGATCTGCGGACTGATATCCTCAGACTCCGTTTGCGAGGAATCGGGTGTACTCAAACTGATGCACGTCCCTTCTATGTGACTGTTTTTAATAACTGTTAGTTGGGACTCGCCACTGGTCACCGTGGCAGGACTCGTGAATGACGTGTTCGACTTGTCCGCCTTTGGAGGCGTTTCGATGTACGTGGTATTTCTAATGGACGAAGAAGGTCGATTCTTTTCTGACGGAGTTGATTCCGCTAATTTGGATGGAGGAGTAGTTGAGCTATTAGACCCGAAAGACAATTGCGCGACTGTGCGTTCGAGCTCAGTACGGAATAATTGTTTCTTTGAGACATCCGACTCTGTTTGTTCAGGATTTATCTGCGGTGGACGGGTTTGAGATATTTTTCGTGACTGCGGAGAATACGAGGAGAACGATCCGAACAAAGGGGAGTCATCGGTGTCATCAGTATCGTCGCCTATATCGTGATTATATCTATCCATACGAGCTAAAATAGTACAGATTTGTTAATTTTGAATATTAATACGAGGATAGCAATTATATCAAATGTGTTATACGTACTATCAAAGTAGCTTGTATCTTCGTCATTGATTAATTGAGGTACGAATTCAGCCTTTTGTCTGAGTAAACTATTCCAATTTACTCCATAAAAATAAGGGTGCTCTTTTACTTCATGAGATCCACCAGTGCCTAAACGATCTCTAGGACTTTGTTGAAGCAACGCTGTTATAATATCTTTTGCTTCTGGCTGAACAGGCCAATCATCCTCATCTGGCCAATCGATATCATCTAGGCGTAATCATTTTGTTTATATTATTAAGTACTTCTCAAATAACTTTTTTTATATCTTATATCAATATTTACCGTTAACAGTATGAGCAAACAACTCTTCCGGAGTATCACCAAAAAATGGTACACAGCCAATTAGAAATTCGTACAATATAATGCCCATAGACCACCAATCAACAGGTTTACCATATCCCTGGCGTAATATAACTTCAGGGGCGATGTATTCAGGTGTGCCGAACACTTGTTTATCGGAAAATTGTCTCGTATCCCTATCTATGTATCCTTCGTAAAGATTTGTCGCCACTGAAAACGAAAAAAGAACTTTGTTCGACGATCATTAAGCTATATTTCATGAACATCGATCTTTTGTGTCACTTACAGGACATAAGACCCATTTTACTGAGACCAAAGTCAGTAAGCTTAATGTGACCAAGGGCAGTAATAAGTAAACTAAAAAAGAAGCAATATATGAAATAGTGAATGAATTAATAACATGCTTCTCTTACGTACTTGTCAGGTTTCAAATCTCGATGAACAATACCGTAACTGTGCAAATATTCAACAGCTAAAACGGTTTCTGCAAAATAAAATCTTGCCATATCCGGTGGTAATGGACCGATATTTTTTAGAAGATTCGCGCAATCTCCACCCTCTACATATTCCATTACTAAGCACAAGTGCTTCTGTAATCAAATGTTTGTTAACAAATATTTAAATTTTATATATGTAATTTTATATATATGTGTTTACTCACTTTTGTTTCGAAGCTGCAGTACATAGAAACTACAAATGGATTGTCTGTAAAGCTCATTATATCTCTCTCAGCAAAAACTTGTTCTACTTGATTTCTTAGCATCAAATTGTTCTTATTTATTTTCTTCATTGCAAATCTTTGTCGTGTAGTTTTCTCCTTAACCAAATACACTGCGCCGTATGCACCATTACTAATGAGTTTCAATACTTCATAATCGCCTTCACAAGGAACGCGGTGAGACTTTTCATCGTCTTTATTTGGACTTGAAGCGATTTGTAAATTACTATCGCTCGAACTTGCCGAATCTTCTAGTTTATTTAAATCTTCTTGCAGTTCTAAGATATAGTGACATAGTGAATATGCACAGAATTTAGATGAATAGAAGAAAGAGTTATACAAGAAATGTTACCTGATATTGGATCTCTATTAAGAGAAAGTTTGTTAATAATATACTGAGGTATATCGTTTTTTATTCCTGCGTTAATTTTTGCTTGACCTTCAGCCTGTTCGAGTAAATGATAAAACTCTTCTGGATCAAATTCTAAACATTCCAATAGACGAGCTGGACGTGATATTACTAATAGTAATTTTTTGATAAGCCCTGTTAATCTTGTTGCTGCATCAAGTGATTTATCTTTTGTCTATAAATAAAGACGTTTGTTCATTGCTTATTTATTTTATCATGTAAATTTGTATACAATTACCTCCATCAACAAATGTTCCAAATTTTCACTCATTTCGTAAAAATATCTAGTTGTAATTAATTTTTCCTGAGATTTTTGTAAACAGTCCCTCGCCATTTCAATTACTTGATGATGCACAAACCGTAAAATCGGTAGTGAATCTTGGGTCATATTTGCCATTACCTCATATTCATCCAATTCCTTGTTTTCATTAATAAAATTAGTTAAACGTTCTTCCATTTGTTGTGTTGCCTAATCAAATAAAATTCTTAAGTGTAATCGTAAATATAGTATTATGTCATCACGATATACATAAACTTTCTATTAAAATGTACCTTTGGAAATCTTTCCTTATAAAGAGTATTCATCATAACAATTTCGCTGTCCAATACAGGAGATCGACTTGGACTGCTATAATTTAAACAAATACGTACAATTGAGCGAAAATATAATGTCTGAAAAATAGAAATTATATCAACAGTATTTACCTTAAACTTCGTGACCGTGGTCTGTGTAACGGTGACCTACGACCTTCTTCATCGAGACTGAGAGATACACTGCCTGGAATACTAGAAATACTAGATCCTGGAAAACCTGGATGCGAAGAACACGGTGTGCCGGGTTTAGAAAAATGGCAAGAAAGCATACGTAATTCGTCCTTGGTGGGAACATTTGGAAGTTGGTGCAAGCGTTCTTGACTCGAGTACTGTGACTAATCAAGTATATTAGTTAATAGATTTCTTTAAGATTATTGTAAGTATCTTTAAACGAATTATCGAGATAATTAACTAACCGAAACATTACTGGAACCTGGTGTTGTACCATAACCACTAGATGGTAAGCTAGCAACTGACCATCGTCTGCCATCTCCAGTTCCTGTGGTACCCCCACCGATCCTTAAATATTATATGCATTTAAGTATGAAAAATTAATTTTACAATACATGATATATGCTACTTAATAATGCTAACATATACATATATAAGAAAAGTCAACCACTTGTTAACAAGAAACCTTACAGCCATATTCTTAGTTTTTTATGAAAGATTTCACAACCTAGTTTCTGCATCAGCATTTGTTTTCTTTACTATTAATAATGTATTAAAAATATAATGCTGACAATGACGACACCTACTTATATAGGTAAACAGATCAGATTTAAACAGACTAAAAGTAGTTATGAAATAGATACCTTTTAATTGGAGCAAAAGCAAAATGTGGACTGGATGACATCCTAGGACTCTCTAGAGGACTGCCTACAATCGGGACAAATGCTATATCAGGAAATAAGCAGTAAAAAAGAAATTAGTTTTCTATGATGATTGAATTGTAAAAATAATATAAAATACACACTTCTAAGTAATTAACAAGTAATTTGTTTTTAAGGACATTTTTTTAAAGGTAAAAGTTAAGGTTTCTAAATCTGACTGCATAGACTGAAAATTGTGTTACAATTTTTTAACCAAGGATATATTTATGATGTATATATGTATGTAAATATACGTATTTAAAAATTTTGGGTAAGGATATGCCAGAATGCTTATATAACATTTTCATAAAATACATAGCACTCATAAATAATTTGTACATAAACAATACATAAAATATCATTGAAGAATCATTTGAATAATCAGAAACAAAGCATTAAAGAATAAAATTTTATATCACCTGACAATGGTGAATGACAACGTGGTAAAGTTGGAGATGTTGTTGCAATAAAAGATTTACGATGAGCTGCTTTAGCAGCACGCCGGGGAATGTTAAAATCACGCTAAAACAGACAATATGCATATTATATATTTGGCTTATGCGATAATTATTATTAGTTTGTGTATTTATATTTAACATTTAATAGTAAATATCACTAACCACGTGAACAGATAACGAAGGTGCAGACTTCCCAATTGCAGAATTCCTCATTCGAACCAGATTTGAGAGTTCTCCACTAACTGCAGATATTAAATTAAATGTCAAGAATTATAAAGAAATAAATAGGCAAATAAATGAAATATAATAAATCTTTATTAACCAGGCCGAACTGGAGCTTCCTTGCTCTCTACTTTTGGTGGAATTGGACGTTTTTGCACTTCTGCTTCAGTGCTGCATGCAGATTCTTCGCTTTCAGCTTGATCAAATACGAGTACTCTGGCAGAATTGCCATGAGAACGAAGACGGGGTCTACTTGGTCTATTTCTGTTCTGGTCCATGTTTTTTTTCTATTTCTTTTACCCTCAATTATTTATGTTACCTAAAATTAAATCAGTCTTTTTTTGGAAGAAACATTGACATTATTAAAGAATTAAAGAAGAAAATCGAAAAAGAAAATATGAATATAAAAGGTAAATATATACCTGATTCAATTCGTCTTATTCAGACGAAAGCAAAACAAAGCGATAGGTAAGTCCGATAAACAAAACTGTCGAAAAATTCACAATCCATTCTTTCTCGTGAAAGTTCGATCGACGTCAAGACTGACAGTTCAAAATCGGCCAAACGTACCAGTCGAGGAACCATTTGTGTGTCCGTACTTTTGATGGCTTAAAATGCCGTCTCGGACACAGTCCTTTCTTCTGTTGGTGTTGTTGCATGAAAATTCATAACATATATGAAGACAGGAAATAAATTATGCTCTGGTCGACTGTAAAAGGAATCGTAGAGGCGGTTCGAAAAATCGAACGGGGAGACCTGTTTTAAATAAGATGTACCTGTAGATGAAGGACAGAGAAACGTTAACCCGATGGAAGGACAGAACCAGGAATACAGAAGATTCGGCGAGAGAAACAAGAGAAGAAAACACACAACACTAAGCACACATAATGGATACGAAGAGAGCAGAAAGACGATAAAAGGTGCACGATTTACCGGGCACAACGGGCATGTCCTCCGAGGACAAGCGGCCCGGGAGTGAGCAGGTGTCGTAGTCCCGAGTCTAGACTCGCATTTTTCTCCTCACCGTAGAAATTAATTACGAAACGCGGACCGACCATGGGTTCTGACTCATGATGGACGTATACACATGTACGTCCTCGCGCACACATATATATACATATACACGTACATACACACTCTTACGCCTGCATTTACACACGGACGCACGCGCAAATACCGGCGCATGAAAACGCGCACAAATACACGCATCCTTGGCCGCTAGCTGCACCGAGAATCAACACCGAACCCTTTATAGCAGACGTACGAGTACGTGCTTTCTGCTTCGCTTACTGTATCGGTATATTGTTCTTAGAAATTGCACCGTTTTCATATTCAATATTCAATCGAATTCCTTTCTAATTTGTATCTCCATAAATTTATCCCTGTCCGGTTTATTTTCAAGAACGATCAGTATATATGCATATATACGTCATACGCATTTAAGTCTCGTTTGTGAATTTTTCGTTTTATTTTCATAGTAATCTTCGCATGAGTTTCTTAAATATTTTTATTCTAACGGAACCGACTTGTTTTCGTTTTGTTTTTTTGAAATTGATAACTGAAAGAGGAGACTAATATGTACCTTAAAATAACGTTGGTCATTTGCATATATATTGTTTGAAAGTTGAATGTTATAAATAAATATAAACAATTATGTAATTTTCCAATTATTTGTGAAAAAATAATTTACTAGTTATCCCTAAAGAATGGCTTAAGATTGAAAGACATAAATAAAGTATACATATAATTGTCTTTCTCAATATTTTCTATGCAAAGTGATTTTAAGATATTTTACGTTTGCAGAGATATATTGTGTATTGTACGTTAAGAAACGAGAAAATTAATTGAGTATCCTCGATTTGCGGTTAATTTGGAAAAAAATTAGATTATATGTATTAGTTTTGATCAGCTATTGTAACAGTTATTAATCGATCTTGCTTGAATTATCGATTATAACCTTATGACAAATCTCTAACATTACATACGTTAAATAGTTCTTAAATATTCAGTTAAAAATATATTTAGATATAATGAAATTGCGAGATTCATTTAAATACGTTAGAGCATTTCATTTTTTTCCTCAATACAATGATACAATTCTTAAGTAAACCTTCTTCGCAAGAGGTCATTTAAAGTATCAACAGTTCACGTCTGTACGAAGGAAAGCGAAGCTGCCTTTTTTGACACATATCAGCTGATGCATCAATACACTGATACCATTATAAAAAACATTTGTCAGGCATTCGTATACCGGATTTATGGTTTTCTTTCTAAAAATACTGTACTTTTTAACGCAAGCAACATATATTACAGTACATATAGCATATGCTCTTTCTCTTTTTTCCCCTTTAAATGTTTCTTTTTTCATCTGATCTTCAGCAACAAGATGTATCCTAACCTTATATTATGTCATACAAAGTAATTATCCCTTCAGGAAAGACCTATGCAAAGTTTTTCAGTGTATAACCTTCGTAAAGATTTATTGAAAAGTTATACTGCTATAATGGTTTCATTTATATAAATGTTCTGAATAAATAATGTATTTCAAATATCTTCGCTTAACGACTGGTAGAGCTTTAACATGTACAAAAAGAAGTCTATTGTATAGTACCAATTATAGAACATTTTCGATTCAATGTAAAAAACTTGAAAGAAGATGGCAGGGTTTGAAATTTCAAATATCAAATTTTCATACAACTCAAAGATTAAATTGTCCTGCACCATTAATTCTGTGCTTTGGATCATGCTGTTGTGGTCATTTTGTAAGAAAATGGTGGTTGAAACAAACTATAGAACAACAGCAAAAATATATAAGGTGGTTTAAGCGAAGGAAATATACTATTTATGGTATACTATCTGTCACTTATAAGTATTTAAAATAACATAAGAAATATATGTTATATATATTTCTAGGTTCTTTGGGATTTCTGTCTTTCATTTTATCTGTTTATTGCTTGACACATTTGAAGGAAGATCCAGTAAGAAAGAAACTACGTTTAATTTTAGTTGATCAAGCTCGACAAATTGAAAATTCTAAAATTATATTTCAAGTATGTACTTAAACAAAAATTTGGGTGAACTGAAAGTAATGGCAGTATTTCACATAGTCACAAATTTATATAGGTAATAGTGCAAAATCAGAAAAATGTGGTACCATTACATGATCCCAAATATAAAATAATTGCCACAGCACTAAAGCGGTTGATGAACTCTAATAAAAATTTATTTAAAGACACTGATTGGACTATTACTATAATCCATCGTATATTTAATAATATAGGATCATTTCCTAATGTTCTAATCTTACCAGTATGTAGATCATCTACATATATAAAAAAGTGAAATAAAATTTTACTCTACATAATAAAAATTACATTTTATTTTAAATGTTTTAGGATAGAAATATTATTGTAATTATTGACATCTTCAACTTAATTAAAAGCAATGATCAACTAACATTTATTTTAGCCCATGAAATATCACATAATATGCTTCTTCATTCAGTGAGTTATAATCATTTTGTAAATGACGTTTTTAATATTTCATAATTAATATTTCATAAAAGAAGAAAATGCTAAGCCAGGAAATAATAATTAATGATAATATAATTGTTTCTAGTTAGAAATATTGTCTTTTGGAGTGATAAATTACGTTGCAACTATTGTATTTTCATTTCTAATTTGGGTATTTTATGAAAGTAAAGCAGCAGCTACACTTTGTTTAACTATGTATATATTGTTTGGTGCCATTTTTTCTTGGTACAAAAGAAAATCTGAAACTGAGGCTGATGAAGTTGGACTTGAATTAGCTGCAAAAGTGTGCAATTTTTATTTAATATAGCTTTAGAATTTTGATAACTTGCAATTAGTCCTAATAATGTTTCTTATGTTTTTAGAGTTGTATTGACCCTAGAGAAGTTTTAGTATTCTGGGAGATGATGAAAAAATTTGAAGAGCTTACACATCAGGATAAATTTCAAATACCATTATTTATGAATCACCCTACTTTAGATAAGAGAGAAAGGAGAATTATCCAACTAATGCCTACAGCTTTGGAATTAAGGAAACAATCCAAAGTATACTTACAATCTTTGATTATTTAAAAGTATAAATGTCACATTAGAAATATATAAGTTGTAAATATGTTTTATATATGTAGTGTCCTAAATTACCAGCGGAGGACCCACGAGATCGTTTACCATATTACATGAAGGATATCGAAAAACACATGTTAAAAAATTCAAAAATTTTAGGTATGCGATTTTAAATGCAGCTACAGATTCTTTTTATATATCCTTGTAATACGACGATGAGTTTGATGAAATAAATGATTCATTAGTCACAGTTAAATTGTATTATGATGACACATATCTCAACGATTGTATTATCATTTGTCTTCCTGTGCTTGAATAAAAATTTGCGATAGTTTTATACTTTTTTCCGACGAGCACGTAAAGTTTGAATTCGCCACGATGGTTTACAGAATATTTGTTATAGAAATATTCCTCTTGTTCGTTGGAACAGTGTATGGATATAATATAGACATAGATTTTCCTATTATTTATTCTTATAACGTTAATAATTATTTCGGTTACACTGTACGTTTATACTACGAACCGGACACTGATACACCCTGGTAACGTATATTATTCCTTGTATGTGAAATATCGATCAATTTGTTCTCTTAGATCGTATTTAATTTTTATATAATAATTACGAAAGGTTGATAGTTGGGGCACCGAAAGGAAATTATTCCTCGCCTTCTATACAAAGATTTCCGTACCTGATCGAACCTGGTGTCGTGTTCCGGTGTGCGATTAAAAATAGCAAATGTCAAATAATCAAGCCAGAAAAGATTGAGAACGAAAAAGGATACGAAACGCGGTTCGCAATGAACATACTTATACGGAAACAATTTGGTTGGTTTGGGAGTGCCATTTCTGTAGACGAAATAAATGGGATTCTGACAGTAAGTGGAATGTTAATAACAATTTCGTGATATTAAATACAATTTTTAACGACATTTTAATCATAGGTGTGCGCACCGCGGACAATTGTAGTGATTTCAAAACCATTCACAAATATTAATTTCGAAACTTTGCAAGGCATGTGTTACAGTGGGAAAGTTTCTTCGGACGTGTTGTCAATCGAAGACAAGAATCTTATGTCCTATAGTACGTAATTAATTATTAAAATTATGATTAATATTATAACATATGTATTAAATAATTATATCATTTCGATCGATTAGGTTTCGATTCGAAATTTTGGTACAATCCGCTTCATGGCTTTTCCGTTCATTATGCTTCAATGAAGGTATATAAATATTATTTTTGACTGTTATATTCTTTTATATCATATAGTAACGTTTTTATAATAAAATCTAGCAAACCAAAGGCAACGAAGGCAAAAAAGAGAGAAAAATAAATCGCATCGTAGGGAAGCCAAAACACGAAGATTATGGCACCGTGGATGTAGTATATTTAAATGAAACGATGTCCATAGAGTTGTCGTTTCTTGACAATTTATCTCAGTTTGGTATGCCCTTTATACCGACAAACTTATTTTTATGATTAGTATGCAACGATATACATTTACAGGATACAGCGTTGAGTCTGGTTACTTCTTCAAAAAAGATCAATTACTCTTCGTCAGTGGAGCTCCCGGGTGGCACTATGTTGGCACGGTAATTAACAATATCTCGAAATTATATCAAATTAAAGATTTTCGATGAACAATTTCTTTCTCTAGGTAATAATAGTCAACCCGGAGTCGCGCGAGTTCGTTACAAAGCTAGATGGAACTCATATTGGCGAATTTTTTGGAGCCAGTTTGGCCGTAGGGGATTTAAACAATGACGGTTTAGATGATCTTCTAATTGGAGCACCTCTTTGGGGAGAAGATAACGGCAGAGTCTATGTATTTGTCGGTACATCCAAAGTAAGAAGTATTTCGCGCTGAAAATATATTGTCTCGCAGTATATCGTACTGCATAGTGCAGAGCTCTGGCGTAGGTACTTTATGTATTTCTTGCAGGGACAATTTGAAATGACTCAAATATTATACGGGACCGCAGAAGGAGGTCATTTTGGATATGCCATAGCTAGCGGTGATTTGGATGCCGATGGATTCGATGGTAATCCGAATCCATTTATATCAAATGGCATAGGTTTTTATAGAATTTGTTTTCTTATCGCAATAGATATTATTGTGGGATCACCTTGGGAGAATGACGGCGTGATCTATGTATTTAACGGCGGTTCAGATTATCTGGAAGTGTCGGAGCGAATCGAAGCTGCAAAATTTTTACGGCGTCCTTCGCAGAAAATACAGAGATTTGGATTTTCAATATCGAAACCGGTTGATATCGATGCAAATGGGTTGGTAAAACTCACCATGCGATATTTAAATCTATTTGATCAGTACCCGGTCCAATAATCTTCTACGCGCAGATATTTGGATATCGCAGTTGGAGCATACAAATCAGGACACGCTATAATACTACGTAGTAAACCAGTAACAAAAACACAACTTTTAATTGAGACTGTACCTAATACTTTACAAAGAGACGCTAGGCAATTCTTAGTTAAAATATGCCCGCTATACTTTGTACGTAATGTACGTTATAATAGCGAGCAAGGTACATGTATGTAATTATGTAAATCTTTACATACGGTTAAAGCTGTTTATATTTTTCAGTGAATCATAATTCATTTCTAGCTATAAAATCTAAGGTTACAGTTACTATAGACGAACGTTACCAGCGAACTCAACAAACAATTTTGGAGTTGAAATCTTCTAACTTGACGTCAAATGTTTGCCTATCTGCTCAAGTTAATATTTCGGTAATATTAAACATATTTTTGTGTCAATTTTATACCAACTTATGGTTTATTTAATATGATATTTCCTAGAGAAACATACGAGATTTTATCGAGCCGATTAGTATTTTTGCGAAACATGATTTTTTATATGACAATACGTCGAGTAATTTTTGCAAATACTGTCTTGTTGAAAAGCGAAACAATAAATTACAAACTGCTCAAGCTTTCCTTCCTTTCAACATCGGTTGTGGAGAAGATAAAGTTTGTAATTCTAATATATCCGCTACTGCAAAATTTTATAATATACAATACAACGATACGTGGGTTATTGGTTCGAGCGATATAAGTTTAGAAATCAGTTTGAAAAACTATGGAGAACCCGCGTACCTTACCATACTTGAGTTCACATTACCTGAGAGAATAATGTTACGTAGCATTTTACCCTTTTGTCAAGAAGATAACTCGAAAGAAAATTTGATAGTAATCTGTGATACGGGAAACCCCATTTGGAACGGAGAAGAGGTACTTTGAACATTTTCTTACAAATCGTATTGTTAATGTATGATAATAAAAATTTATGCTTTTTTTTTTTTTTATAGAGAAGTGTTAAATTAAACTTGGATATGAGACACTTAATTAATGGATCGCTGTATGACCATAATAAATTATATTTTTACGCAATCATAAAAACTCGTAGTATAAATCATGGAACGACGAACATAAGCAAAACTCTTAATTTAGTAAACGAGGTTTCTCTATCTCTGCATGGGTTCGTATTATTTAGATATATTTGTCTTGTAGCAGACAATACATTTGTTTTGACTAATATTATTTTTCAGGAAAGCAAACGAAGAAGCCTACTATTTAACTACTTTAAACGAAAGTTCTTCAAATATTACTTTTCAACATACTTATCAAGTGTATAAACTTGGAGCATCGCCTATAGAAGATGCACAACTTGCTGTTAAAGTGCCATTAGCTACTGAAGACTCAACAACTTTGATATACATGTACAAACCTCAAGTAAGAATCTATGGACTCTCTTTCTTGTAGATATAAATTGTCGATGAAATATGTTTTTAGCTATACATATCAGGGGAACTTTTTGAATGTTCTTCCGAGAGTACTTTAGTGGATAGTCAGTTAGGTGAAGTTCAAGAGGAATCATTCTTAGATAAATTTGATATACACAAAAGAAACGTAGAGGCTTCAGCCGTATACCTAAGTGACGCGAAGAATGTTCAAACTTCAGAAACGTTGAACAAAAATTTGACAGATAATATTATTTATATAAATTGTTCAACACCTGACATAGCTTGTACGACCATCGTATGCAGTTTAAATACGCTGAAAACGTTACAAGATGTTGGAAAGTTGGTGATTAAATTTTTATTAAATGTCGATAAATTTAAAGGTAATCACTTATATTACTTCTTCATACATATATTATAACATACGGTTACATGTTTCATTCGTTTATGCTTTTTTCGATATCTTAAGCCAACTTTAGGAATAAAAGAGCCGTTGTCAAATTTACCACCGAGGTGAACGTAGAAATCATAAAACCAGATGAAAGGCTAGATATCAATGGAACCCGGTAAATATATTTTACATTTTATTACATATTTTCTAAGTACTTGTATCTATATATTATCTGAAATAATTTAAAAATGATTAAAAATAGTTCCACAATAGAAGTTATGACAATGTTCTATTACACTCCAAAAATGGAAAAGCTACAGCTATGGATTATTATCGTTTCTGTTTTGGTGGGGCTGTTATTATTATGCATTTGTGTCGCAATTTTAAACATGGTAAGATATCTTTTTATTGAACGTGATTATAACATGTTTTATTTAATAACATTTTTCAGTTAGGTTTCTTTAAACGGAAAGGAAAACAGAACTTAACGAAACAAGAAATTGATGAAGTAAGTATTCTATGGCATCCTATGATTTTAGAAGTAAAAATTAATTAACATCTTATTCGTAAGTGATAGAAAGCGGGATCTTGGCGGTGATTGAACCTGAAAATACGTGATATTTAGTGGACGGGAAGTACTTAAAAAATATCAAATACTTCACATTTATTCTGTAAAAACCAAATTTTATTTAATAAATTTCTAATTCTTATTTACATTACATTTATTGCCTCCGATGAAAAACGCCTATATATTATGTATACAAATATCTACTTTTATTAATTACAAGTTACATATCTCCATCTTGTATGTTATGTTCAAGTACCCTAATCTGACAAGTATACATAATGTAAAAATGTATCTTGAACATATACACTAATCAGTTATTTACATATTTTGCTTAATTAAAGATGAAGTTACAAACGCAATAGTTCGCAATGAAATAACAATAATATTCCCTACTGAATCAATCGATCTATTACTACATATGTAATGTATATGATAATAAAAATATCTTTCTCACATTTTTCGAGTTTCCCTATTTCCTTTTCTACATTTCCTATCGCTTCCTTTTTGAATGACATTCTTTCTATATAGCAAAAGAAAAAACATTTGATAACGACTAGCAGTACATTGGAACAAATATTTTTCCCGAAGAACTTGCAGTACTGCTACAAATATTCTATCATTTTAATAAGATCTGTACAGAATGTGAGCATAAATTATACTCTCGGTAATATATCAATCATGCTTATTTTATATAATTGTACTAATAATTCTATGTCGTAGAATAATTCTTTCAAACAAACTGCGTTACATCGAATACATTTTGTTCCATTCTTTAGTTTCGTTGTCATACCACTGCGATCAGTTTTATGTGCCAGTATGATTTACTATGTCTTTCAAAAAGACACAAAATTAAGAGCCGGTTATAGCTCCTGTCTGATCGACATCAATACAGCACAAAACTTTCTGTGGGTTCAGTCCACAGCAGTAACTGATACGGTCGAATGCAGTTCAGCCTTTTCAATGTCATGTTGTTTCTTAACATTGCACAAATATTGTGTGACTGTTTGTCGTAGCACATTTTGTTGCATATCGACAAGCTTCGACAAGAAAGATCAAACTTCCTTGTTAGAATTTCAGCTGATCCATCAGAACTATTGTTTTTCGTTCTTTCATCAGTGTCCTTCTTTTTCATTACAAAGGCAATTCGACCATTTTCAGAAATGAATAAATTAAATAGATTACATATCGTGAGGGCTAGTTCATCTCTATCCCCTGGATATGTGTAACATAATAGAGTGATATAGTTTTATTAAACGCGCGTTCTTTACGGATACCAACGAATAATTTATGCTCACGAACTGTAGCTAATCTTTGGATTTGTAGATTTGACAGAAACATATAATAATGGATATAGATATTAACAATGCATCTATATATAAATTTGCGCAGATTCCGAAAGGTATAAAATTAACGCGGTATTTCAATTCCCAACAACTGATACAAACATTTCATGCTGGTTGATTCGTATCTCTTTTATTATCAATGTTAAATTCTTTTGCTAGAACTATTATTTTATCACAATAACTTTAATATCAAACTGATTAAAGAAATTCGCTACAGAGAGAATAGATCTTTTTCACGCTATGTGACAGATGTTCTCATTATTTAAATGTTCATAAAATTATGTAACATATTTATTATAAATACGAATCAACCATCATGATATGAAGTGAGATGTGATATAATCTTTCTAAGATTATACATTCATGACATTGTAGCCTTATTAAATTTAATGTAAACTAATCTATATCACATACATAATGATGCTCATTTCATTTGATAGTTTAATCAAAGAAAGGCACAAATAATTACATAGTATTATAAAATTGTCTATTTACAAACGTTAGAGTATTATCGCACACGTATTCTAGGATAGACCAAACGTATCAGATATAGATTACTTGAATCATAATATAAAATGTGCATCATTATATACATACGAAATATGATTCGTAATTGAACTAGCAGTGCGAGAAATCTAAGTATTATTTGTGTTTCTCATAATGAACACAATGCTCATGTTCGATATAATTCCAAAAGTGAATTACAATTGTATGTTGTAAATAATTATAAGAAATTAAAATCTGAAGTTTGGAATATTGTATTGCTGTACGAAACTTCAGACATAGAAAAATGAAAGTCAAAATCAATTGTATCGCACACTAGTATCAACATCCCCTGACATTTTTTAAAGCTAAAAATCATGACTAAATTTTAACTTACGAGAGACAACTACTCTTAAAATAAAAATAATATACATCTTGTATTCTTTAATGATAAAAGCATTATGCATTTCATTGACATAAAAAGAAGACTGCTGTTAAATACAATACTTTGTGGAAAAAATTATTGGCTGCTTTCAGTATTTTACAACAATCTTCTTTTTATTCGCTATAAAGACAATAAACGCATAAGACTTTAAGCAGTAATTTCTTATAATTATAAAGTAAGAAAAAAAAGTCAATGTCCATTTGTAACACATAATGAATACGATTAAAATTAACTCCCTATTTTTGATGAGAAGAGAAAAAGAACTAATATCTAGGAAAACTGCACCTTTACACTGATTACGATACAAATCTATCATGTACTGTAAAGACACATGCAGCAGAAAAGAATAACGAATAAAATTGAAATTTCTCTAAGTCTTACTTTTCCACGTATTATATTCTTATTTATTAAATGCTTCCGCTGGTACTTGTCCCCGCTTGTAAAATTCTTGAAACGCTGAGAGCGCATTGTCATAATTCCATGATACTTCTTGTAAACACTTTAAACTCCATTCCAAGTTCATGTTTGTTTGTTGGCTGAGCGTCATCGTCATTTGTCGTTTTACGTCTTCAGGCAACTGAACTGTTAATGATTCTTCATTGCCGCTAATCGAAGGAGTCTGTGATCCTGGATTTGGTATTTGCGCTTGTGGTTGACTACTCAATTGTTTTAATTGTGCGTCTGTCGGTTGACTGATATGTAGTTGTTCATTTCGAATACAGTAACCATTTCCTTCCGGCACTATTATAAAGGTTCGATTAAAGTAACGAATAGGCTGTTCTTTCTTGTCAAGCTCTTTGAACAGTCCAGTGACTGTAATCAACATTATTCCATCCTAGAAATATAAAGTTGCTGTATAACACAATGAATAGGTTGCACATTTCGTTTTTGTTTACAAAGAAATAAGATCTTACTGTTATCAGGTTGATGTCCATTGTGAATGTATTTAGATAATGCAAAGTTCGTGGCATTTCGGAAATAAATGAAACTACAGGCAAACGACCATGTTTTAATAACTTCTGCTTTCTGTTTGTATCGTTTGTTCTGTACAGGTTTCTATTGTCCATTAGGTTCTTGTTTTCCATTAGGTTTCTATTTTCCATTAGGTATCCATTTAATCTGTAATATCCCGTTTATTAGATTATTTATTTATTATTATTAAAATATATGTCGTTTATTTCTGAGTTAATCCGTATGCAGAAACTTACTTGTTAGTATAGTGAGGAGGATAAGACACAGTCATGCTAAAACACGCATGTTCGACATACGCATCTAGCAATGGTTGACGGTTCTCACTATCAAATATGAGGAAGTATTGCTGTAGAAATTGACTAGCAATTTCTTGTGCTTTTGCATTTGCAACAAACATCCTCTGAGAAGGGGGTATTTTGTTTCCTTCGTCCACTACATCAAACAAGATTGGCTTCGGGAGATCCATACCATCCTTATAAAATATAAAAAGCAGTTATTTCTGATTTTATTCATTTTATAAAGTATAGTGATTGATAATACGATTATCGTTTATTACTTACCAGTCGCAGGAGTTTAGGAAACCTCCTCCGCACGTCGCTGTTGTCAGGAAAGAAAAGCCAGAAGCCCGGAAGCTCCAAGTTAATCGTAATAACAGAAATATTTGCCTTATTAATGTAACGGCTTAATGTAATGGAACGAATGCAGGAATAATTTGGAATTTTTAAGAACTACTTATTACTTCATTTCAAATAATTTAAAAATATGATAGATATTCTAATAAATAAATAGGTTGATATTTTTAGTGTATATACTGTTAATTGTAGGTATTAGTTAAAATTTGTAAACAGTGTCAATTCAACTCAGACTTGGAAAATACATGATTGTGAAAGGGAAGATCGTATTGAAATACTACATTACCTGATGTAGTCATTTTGTCGAGATTTATACTTGTTGCATATAGGATTCCCTGCCAATTTAAGCTCTTCCAACTTCAGATCTTTGATAATATCCAGTTGATTAATATCCTTTATCTACAAAACGTCAATTATATATTGAATCAATCACTATGATATAAACGATAAAATACTCGTAGCTTATATCAGCTTAAATTACATACCCTGTTATCTCCAATATACAATATCTTTAACTTTAGAAATTTTCTATTCAGGATACTTAAATATTGGATTGTCTGCAACTTATTTCCATCCAAATTTAATGCCTCCAAATCTGGTATGTATTCCGATACAATATCCAACACTGCTTTTAATATTGAAGGTTGGAATAGTGCACAGAAGTAGTCGGAAACAAGATCTGTAACAATCAAAATTACTACAATATTCCGTACAAGAAATTTATGTGTAAAATATTACTTTAAATTTTTCTAACCTGGATCTCTGTGAAACCTTGACAAGTCTAGTGCATTTGTAGCATGCATATATCGTTTAGACATGGCTTGTTTCAGTCTTTCTTTGAGCTTGGCATCAATTTCACATTGAGGAAACGGTGATTTGGAGACTCTTACTAATAATTTGTATCCATCAGTAGTTGTAATTTTACGATCACAATCAAGTAACGCAACGGCTACTTTCTCATCGTCTACGTAAAAATTGGCTTCATTTCCAAAAACTCGGTACTGTTGACAAATTTTTATATTTTGTACAGAGTTCACACTTTGTAATTATTTTATTTGTAATTATATAATGTAATTGAAATGTTTCATATTTACCATTATTGGAAGAAAAGTTTCTGGTGCTATATAACTAAGAAGATTATTTATTATATAATCTTTATCGTATTTCTGCCCATATGGTATCTGTAGTCAAAAATGATTTTTATGATTAAAACTAAAACTAAACCGAACATTAAAATTTATTTCCTGATATACTTACAGTAATTTTA